GCAGTGGCTGCAGCAGCTATGCTGGGGGTTTAGCTTTAGTGGAGTGGTGGTGGTCACTTCAGCCCTCCAAGTTAGACTGAAAATGGAAATGCCATCTGCCAAGAGAAACAGCTTACCAAAATTGCATTACGTTGCTTGTTTTTCATGACAGGCCTGAAAATATGTTACATGGAATTACCGGCCAACACTTGAAACGTGTTCTTTTATTGCTTTGTTTTGTGTGGAAGGCTTGTTTGCTTGTTGTTGGTATTGAAAGATAACACATAAGGCTGCAAAAGTACAATGCATTTTCATCCAGAATTTATTTATTACACTTTAATGCAGAATTTATTTATTACACTTTAAAGAGGGTTTTACTGCAGTATGAAAATATCAAGTCATTTTTTCTCCCATTTTCTACAAAGGGGGAAGAAGCAGTTTTCAGTGTCCTGTCCCACTGTCTCAAAGGTAAAAGCTTTGAGAAGTCAAAACCAGTTCCCACAGAACATTGCCATTCACTAGCCAAAGGACCCACAAAGCTTCAGCAAACCACATCCGTTCACCCAAAGAGCACAGATGGAGTGGCAGACCCTTGTTCTGGTCATGGCCCTTGGGCACCCCATCATCGAGCCCTCAGGGAGGTGCTAAGTGGCTGCTGGCCCGCGGATGCCAGGCTCAGTGCAGGGCACGGTGCTATGAACAGCGGGTGCGGCGCTGTCTCACCATAAAGCCAGACCCTAAAACCAAAAGCAGAGCTGATGTACTCAGGCTTCCCAAGCACAAAGCATGTTTGATATCCAAAGGTCAGCCTGAAAATATGGGTGTTTCTAATTTTTTTTTCCCACTCTTGCCTCCCTTGCCATCCCATCAGAGCATAGAAACCCCACTCAGGGCTTCATGCTTGAGTCCTCTGAGGACTCCAAGCCCAGAGTCTTCTCCCCAGGGGTAGTGCCAGCAATACCACTGAAGTGAGAGAGCAGTGCTCCTTCCTTCTGGCTGGTGTCTGTCTTCTAAGTCACTGTCTTTTATTTTAGAGCATTCACTGAGGAAGTGGGAGACCTGGGTTCAATGCGTTCCTCAATCTGCGAGCGCTTGTCTCTCACTTCCCATGAGAGTGTCTAACTGCCAGCCGATCAGCTATTCCGGGTGAAGCTCTTCAGAGTGAAACCTGCATGAAACCTCCACTAAACGGATGTTTGCTCTCTCCGTCCTGCTGGTGGTGGGCAGCTCCTGGGTTAGAGTTAAACAATTGGAGCTCTGTGCTAAGAGGAGCCTCAGGATGCATTTGGCTTGCTTGGAGCTGGTTTGCAAGACCTCCACCTCGGGGCTCAGGAAAGGGGTGTCTGTGTCTCTGTATGCCCATGGAGGCTGGTGTAAAATGCAGCTACTTGGAGATGCTGTTCTGGGCAGGTGTGCCAGCAGAAAATGTGAATGTGAGCCAAGGAGAGACCACAGAGTGCAGGTGGCTGCGAGACAGGGTCCTCTGTGAATCTGGACTTCAGTGCCTGAGCTCAGTTAAGTTTAAAAGCCAAGTCTGGTTTTAAGCACCCAGGGCGTTTATTGGTGGCAGCTCCTTAAAGCTCAGCTCTGCATTTGGATCCCCCCTGGGCACAGACCCTGGCAGATCAGCCAGGATCTCTGCCGCTGCTTCGATAAACATTTCCAGGGTTTATTAAATGTGCTTGATGACGTTCTTTTGTGGAGACAGTAATTTGACAGTCATCACGTGAGAAACTCAGGATTTGCCATCTGGCCTGGCAGGACTTTTTTCTTCTCACCATTAATTAAACTGACGTTATTGCAAACTTTTATTATGGTGGTTATGATTTGGCCTGCGATAACGCTGGGGCTAGTACTGAGGCATGCAAAGTGCCTTCCACTCGCGTGACGTTAGCGGGAGGTGCAGCTGAGCACCTCACTGGACTCCAGTGTCAGCTCCAATAACAAAGTTTCTGAGCCGATTCCTGTGAGCCCTACTCAGGCACCTTCCCCTGGAGCGGGTTCTTCTGGTTCTGAGGGGATTGTTTCACAAGTGGGAAGACGTAGCTGGGGGGAGGAAGGGGGCAGCTGCTCAGCTGCAGTGGTGGTGTACAACGTGCCCTGACAGGAGAGCTCACTCACCACAGCTTTGCCCTGCTTGGTGAGGCCGTGGCCATTAATGGGAAAGTGGATTGGCAGCAACAGATTTTTAGAGCACAGTGCAAAAAGAGAGGAGGGCAGCGCAGTAGGACTAATGCTGAAGTCATCTGCACAAAGCCGGTACATCATGCTGGTAGCTGGTGTGAGGAAGAAAGACATTAAGCTTTTCTGGTGATGGGACATGAGGTGGCTGTATTCTGTCTGGGGTGGATCACACAGAATCACAGAATTTCTAGGTTGGAAGAGACCTCAAGATCATCGAGTCCAACCTCTGACCTAACGCTAACAGTCCCCACTAAACCATATCCCTAAGCTCTACATCTAAATGTCTTTTGAAGACTTCCAGGGATGGTGACTCCACCACCTCCCTGGGCAGCCTGTTCCAGTGTCTAACAACCCTTTCAGTAAAGAAGTTCTTCCTAACATCTAACCTAAAACTCCCCTGGCTCAACTTAAGCCCATTCCCCCTCATCCTGTCACCAGGCACGTGGGAGAACAGGCCAACCCCCACCTCTCTACAGCCTCCTTTAAGGTAACTGTAGAGAGATGTGTGTGGTATCCAGCATCCTAGCCCATTTCTAATCCCTGTTCAGATCCAGCTCCAGCTCCTGGGATGGCAGAGCTTCTCCATTCTTCCTTCACTAGTCTCCAAACTGTGACTTTGCGAGTGTGCCAAGACCAGTAGGTTTGAAGAAAATGGAGGGCTGTGAGGTTTGTGAGACGGCGTCCCCAGCACTAACTCTTGCCATTTTTTCCCTGTCAGAACCTTGAATGTTCAACGGCTCAGAGATAACTCAGCAGCTTCAAGGGATTCAATAATATTTGTTTTTGCCCAAATCCCTCGAAGTCTGAGGGAATGGAGACAGAATCAGTTTGAGATGAAGAGCCAAGACAAGTAAATCATCCTTGTGTCCGGGTGAGCTCTCATTTGAAGAGGCCACAGATGGCAGGGATGTTCATGAATCAGCACTTTCACAGACCTCTGCCCATTCAGAGAGCAGTGTGTGTAAACAAACATGAAAACGGCACGGAGCCACAGAGCTTTCCAGATCCTTCCTGTTCCCTCTGCACCGCCGAGGGGGCTGTCCTGGGAGCAACCACAGTGGAGAGGGCTGCCGCACTGGGCGCTGAGCTGGTCCCAGGCTGGTCACCCTACACCCCGTGCTTTGGCTATGTGAGAGCCAGAGGCTGGGGTGATGGCCTGGGGCTGTCCCCTGTTCACCCCACAGCACACCCAGGTGTGCTCTTCAGGCAGGGAGGCAGCTGCTGACTGGCAGGCACTCAGGGTTTATCTGAAATGGAGGTAAGGAAGGGTGAGGCGAGGACACGAGCTGTTGCACCACTGCACAGCTGCAGGTGACGAACAGCTCCTGTGCATTTGAGCTCCATGAGGTGGGCCGGCCCCAGGTGTGATCCTGCTCTTTGACGCCCGTGTTGGGTCCACATGCCCATGAGCCCAGGGCTTCAGAACCCTCCTCCAGCTCCTGCTGATGTTAAGCAGGGAGATTCTTCCTGCACCTGTTTGGTGTTTGTTAAATGTTACACCAGGAGAAGGCAACGCCAGAGGGCTGTGCCGAGAACCCCCCTTTGCTGGAGTTGTGTTGTGTGTTCTAGGACCCGCTGGCTAAGAGGTTCCCAAGAGCCACAGTGTCACTTCCATGCCTGCCCAAATGTCGGCCTGGGGAGTGCTGCTCCTGAAGGGTGACATGTAAGTGACGAGGACTGGCCAAGCCAGTAAGTGTGCCTAAATTGTTTGTGAGACTGTTATAGACAATCTCTCTGGGCTGAAACACAGTCCAAATCTTCAAAGCACTGTGTGGGATGGCAGCTGTGGGACTCCTATTAAAGTTACTAGGCATCACACAACCAAAAACTCCTGTGACACCAGTGTGTTTCTGCTGGGAAATAGCTGCTGCTGAGGCTGCTGAGACAAAGGAACGTGGAGGAAAATGGACTCCACCAACTTGCTCCCCAAGAGCAACACCTCACTAAATTTCAACCCTAGGGCTTGTGCGTTTCTTGTAATAATAGTGGATATCAGGAATAGTGGATAATAGGTATAACAGAGGATATCACCAGAGATGTGCAGAACATTTGAGACATTGGGACCTATTGTCAGCAAATGAGATGCTTCAAATTCATTGCAAAGTTGGAGAACATCTAACTCTGTAAAGAAGTTGATGGAGTTAAATGAAGGGAATTGAGTGAATATGATGAAGTCAGAGCATCAGGTTGTCATCCATGTTCCCAGAGAAGGTTCTCAGAGAAAGCCATCACAAAGCATTACCCTGAAAAGTAACTGCCTCCTACAGTGATAAATAGTCAAGAAAGCAGCTAAACATAAAAAACGTAGTCACCAAATGACTACAAGTTGATAAGCTTGAAAGCCTGGATTTTTCTTTAGGAAGGTTCAAGAAAAGCAAAATCTTTTTTGTTACTTTTTTGAGGGTTTCCTGTGATGGTGTCCAAACTGTAGTGGGGTTGTCTTAACCAGCTTTGACTGTCAGTGGTAGAAGGCAGCAGCTGAGAAAAAGCAGCCTGCTGACAAAGCTCAGAAAGTGTGAAGTGTCATATGGCACCGGGATTAGAGAGGGGTAGAAGAGTTTGGGATGGAAATGAGCAGTACAGAGCAATGAAGTGCTTGAGGGAAAACCTGCTTTAGCGAGTGAGCACAGCCACAGGGCAAAAAATTGCCCACCAGGCAAATACCAGTGATCATATCATAGGCAGGGAAATGGAGTCAGGCTGGTCACAGTGCTTTTTGCAACTCTTAGAAGACACTGATGGATGAAGACTCAGGGAAGAGAAGCTTCCTTTTTCTTACTGTTTTGACATCTTTCAGGCTTTAACATGAACTAACTACCATTATCCTAATTTTACAGATGGGGACAGACGGGTTACGTGACATGCTCAGGATCACATGAGCAGTCTGTGTCAAGAGTGAGAAACTGCACCTGGATCTCTCAGTTGTGAGGCTGCTGCTCTGGCACCGCGTCATCCTGACTGCAAACACAACACCGGGATTGACTTTGCCTATGTCCTTCCTATGGCTACCAATGGTAAGGTTTTTGAACAAATCAAAGAAAGCAAAAATAGTCACTCCTCCAATTTGTATGTCCAATCCTATCTAGGCAGTGGCATAATGTACCCTAGAGGAGTCTGTAATTAATACAACTAATTACCCCTTGCTGCAAAGACTTTGAGACATCACTGGTTAAGAATCTAGATGAAACTTTCACCTTGTTTACAGAGTGCTTTATGTTGTGTGATTCAGAGTGGATTGGGGTGATATCTGCAGGAAAAATTAACTTATAACCAAGATGAATACTGCAAACTCCTTGGTGCCATTGACATGACTTGGCCACCACTGGAGCTTTAATACACCTAGAGAGAAGTCAGGTAAAAATTAGACTGGAGAAATAGTCATCAGCTATTGCAGAAGGGTTCATTGTGTTTGTCAGCATTCATCTCCACCACTCCAAAAGGTTTAATACATGTATAACAGCTGACAAAGGAATGGGTATCAGTAGTCTGTTGACACAAGAGCACATGTGGCTTCTAGGCATGTTCTTGGTTTTCAGCTACACCAAAGATCATCAGGATTGTTATTTTCCAAAGAGCCCAGGAGACCATTGTTCCCAAGGCACAGCACACCTGGGGCGCGTCCCACTCTAAGCAGGGCAGCTACTGAAAGCCCAGCCCTCAGTGGAAGGACCTATCCTTTTGACTCCAGTTCCCAAACCTACTACTGACTTATGCTGCTCCAGATACGTGCTGTGGGCTGCTGCTTTTAACCTGGCAGTGTTGCCAGAGGCACTGGGCACCTGGCATTTCATGACACCTAAGAAACACCCATTAATTGAAACTCATCAGGCAAACAGCCACTTCTGCTTGCTGTGGCTCTGTTTTTAGCTCTTCAGCTCTGAAGTAAGACTGACAATTTTTGCTGGTTTCTCAGACCTCCTATTGAGTTTTGCTAATTAATATTTTTGAACTACTTAGCTGTTCTCAAGTCTATGGTGATCCAGAGAATTATTATTACTGCTGGTATTATTAAGACTAATAATACTGCTAATAACCTTAGTAAGCCTGGCAAAATTCAATTTGACTAAAATTCTTGCCACAAATGAAAAAAAAAAAACTAACTTCAGTGCTTCAGTGATGTGAGGGGGTACGTGACTCAGTTACCAGTACCTGCTGTTTACAAGGGGCAGGAAGAGTATATTTGCTCAAATGAAAAAGGTCAAGGCAGAGGCCCATTTGCTGTTTGTTAATAAGTAATCTGAAGTACAACACAGCTTTACTGTAACAAATCGGCCTAGCTTAGCTGTCCTTCCATCACCATTATTTCCAACACAATTCTTGACTAAAATGCCAGTTCAAAAATAATCCACATTCTCATAGATTATTTTCAACATCTCCAAAGCCACGCAGAGGATTTGTAGCTGGGGATCCACAGCAACAATAACATCAAAAAACCTCTTCCATATTTTTGCCAGTGCTTGTCTCAGGACACTGTTGGCAGCAAAGGCTGAAATGTCAGATAGAGCATTATTTAACTCCTCAGAAATTCTCCTGTAGACTTAGTCAGACCCATGCATCTTCCCTGAGGAAGTGTGCCAGTCCAGAGCCGTGGTGTAGCTAGCCTGCGTACAGCCAGCCCCCTAAGTTACTGATGTAACTTACAAATCCACCTACGTCATCTCTGCACCTGGCCCACAGTCAACAGTTAAAATTCAAACATGGACGTTAGAGAATATCTTTCTTCCAAGTATTGAGCATACGTGCACTTCATGCATTGCAACCCCTGCCCTGTCATTGTCTTTTGCCAGAAAGATGGTCATTGTCCAAGCAACAGTTGTCTTTAGTCACCCAGCAGTATTTTGGAAAAGGGCTGGAATAATGATGAGCCTTTGTGGTTCATCTATTGGCTGCAGGTAGGATTCATTAGAAAAGGTTTTCTTATTAATGAGACAAAGCAATACTTGTGCCAGCTGCCAGCTAACCACAGATTCTCTTCTGTAACCCTTAATGTTCATGTCCTTCAACTGTACTGGCCTGGGGCACTTCAGATGTCACACATCTGTTCCTTAAAATAGGGATTGTGAGGTACACCATGCCGGAGCAGACGCAGCCCTAGCACAGAGCGTGGCACTCTCAGCAGGCACCCCAGCATGGGTTTGTGAGGGTGTTTTGCCATATGCACAGGTATTTCTTGGAGGAAGGTAGCTACACACACATGCATGAGGTCACCTTTGGAAAGAGAAACCATGTGGATAGCAAACTGTGATTTCTAGCTTCCTGAAATGCAATTTCAAGAGGCAATGATCCTTTAACAAGTCAACAACCTAGTCCTGACTGCCTGTTAACTGAGGGGGAGGGAATGAGCTCGGTGAGGGAAGATTTCCCCTGCAGAACAGGTCACATTTGGCTGTGAGCGCAGAGCATCTTTCTGGTGCCAGAGCCTTACTAAAGTCTCCCAGAGCTCTGTAGTCCTCGAGGCCACCAGAGCCTGCCACCACCCAGGGCAGCAGCATGCGAGTGATGAGAAGTAGGAATGGCTTTCTGCAGCTGCCCCTCTGGCATCACACAGAAGACAGTGAGGCTGAGCAGCAGATGTGCAGGTGAAGAGAACTCACAGCAGACAGGGAAGAACATGCATGGCAGCAATTGCAGGGTCTTTGTGGTGGGATGGAAAGAGGATTCTTGCAACTGAGTGTTCACACACGTCAGGAGACAGCGTCAGTGGCTCCTAGCTGCCAGGAGCGGAGTGCTTTGTATGCCCTGGAGCCCTCTTGTTGTCTGGGGGAAGCTGGCATGGCTGGCGCTGCCCTGTGTGTCTGTACCTGCACGATTGGCTGCAGCTGGGTGGTTGGCAAGCAGTGCAGTTCACAGAGATTCTTGAATTGATCTGATGTGCACAGGATGTTTATCCCAGAACACCTGGGATTGTGGTGGAACTGATGCCCAGTTCTATGAAATTTGGGCTGATTTCAACTGGGATCTGGACAAATACCTTCTAGCTAAAGTGAGGCTAAGAGGAGGGTAGCATGAGGTCCTAGATCCCATGCCACCATGCTGCTCTGAAGGAGCATGTGGCTGTGCCATACATCACACGTCCTGGCAGGGAGAGTAATAAGCATTGCTAGCTGGCAGCCTTGGCAGAATGGTGATGCCACATGAAAATGCACGTGTTCATTACTCATGAGATACACATTTGCTGCCCATCCCCACCTTTTCGCAGTATTATACACCCAGGGTGGTGGAGCTTTCTGTGCCTGTCCCTGGATGTTGTGCTATTTCCTTTTCCTGCACTTTGTCCTGGGTAATGTCTGTTGTAGTGAGTTGCAGGAGCCTTTAAAAACACTGATACATTTTGCTCTTCCTCCAAAGTCCAGTGAGCTTTTACTTCTTCCCCTTGCAGCAATGGGAAAACAGGGGTTCCTGGACGTCAGGTGATTCTCCTGAAGCAGTGAGACTAGCTAGAAAATGCTAAGTATTCTCCAAACCTACTCCTGAGCGTTAGTCATCACCCCCACGTCACCCCTCAATGGCATCATGACAGCCAACTTGTGGATTATGCAGTCGTTCATGGGAACATGAGAAGCATGTACTGAAAAGCAAACCCAGTGCCGCAAACAGCACTGTGGAGACGCACACCCTGTTCTAACCAGTAGCCACGATACTGGGAAAATGTGCAGGTGGTTTCAGAAACTCGTAGGTAGTCTATTATCACAGAGAAGGGGGGGAAAAAAAAACCTTAGGGAGGTTTCCCCTATGACCATCTGTTAATTTTCTCCTGAAGCCACTATTGATTTTCTCATGCTAATGCCCTGCACACACTGCTGTGAATCAGAGCACTGCACTGCTGTTACTGGACCATGCAAGCTTCCCCGACTGGAATTAGCATGCTGGCATGCTTCCTCGGTTTGTACCTCAGTGCTTCATTTGCCTGGCAGTCATCAGCCTTGGAGACAAGTCTTCTGCTTTCCCGCAGATCCTGGGCTTTGCTGCACCTCAGTTTGTGACAGAGGTGGGCTTCCTTTTTCTACTCACCTGCCTCCTTCCATATAGTTTCTGTAGCCCATCCTATTGTAACAGAGGCCTTGCTCAGACACCTAGCTGTGCTTCAGCCCGAGATCACGCTACTATTTTGTGCTACCTTAGGGATCAAGTGCTAAGACTGCTCATTGTCTGCAGTCCCCTTTGCACTTATATTTTGACCACTGCATGGACACGTGCAACACAATAAAAATAACCACCCACCTTGGTGACAACAAATGTCAGCCTTTTGTACGTGCCTTGCCGTATCCATAGCCCCTGTAGCTAATGGTGGTCTTGGGAATGGACCCACCAGGAACTAGCTCTGTGCTTCTGCCTTGTGCCAAGCTGTGGATGACATGGGTTTGTTGGGGCAGCAGCTGTATGGCCTTACAGCGTGGTTGCCAGCTGCCCCTGCTTTGGGCTGGAAGTCCCTGATGTTGCCTATGATGGTGAATGCAGTGAAACTCCAAAGGTGAGCTATGGGGCAGTGATGGTGGGAACCTAATGGGGTTAGCCTGGGCTGGAATACACAGTTCAGAAGAGCTTTCCCAGCTTTCTCTTTCTTTTTACAATCTTCTGAGATACCAGAAGAAGGTGTTGGAAGGCAGATCATGGCTTGGGGGCAATACAAACAGCTTTGCTCTTTATCCTGGCACCTGAGAGCATTTATTATAAGTGACTCGGGCTGTGGCTTCATCCTGATGTGTTGTGTGTGTACTGGGAGTGCTCAGTGGTTTCCAGAGGAACTTACTGAGCATTGCAGCAAATGGGGAAACTCACCAAGGAACAGTTGCTGCAGTAAGTGAAACTTTGAAACAACTTTTGCTTTTCATTTGTGAGCAAAATACAGCATTTTTAAAGCATTTTTATTTATTTGTTTCAGAGCAGAATTATCAATTTCTACCATTGCAAATATAAATTTGTGCAGTGAAAACAGAAAGCAACCAGCTCAAGTTGCAAACTGTCATGGATTTGGTCCCGATGGAAACTGGTGTAGTTGAATGTTTCCTCAAAAAAATGTCATAATTTGTGCATTTTTATGGTAAATAATTCTGGAAGAAAAAAATGTTTCTAATATCTATGAGCAATGCAAACAGATGCTGAAAGTGCTGAAAGTGTTTTGCTATTTACTGGTTGTCTAAATACAATTTTTCCCTTTTTTAGAAGAAACAAAAAGGCTTTTCCCTCCTCCCACAAATGAAGAGACAAATGCACCACTGCGTGTCACGCAGAGAGCCGTAACAGGGAAGGATTTAGTGTGGTGCTGGGGTAGGATGTTGCTTCTGTAGAAACAGAAGCAATACAGAATTTTCCAATGGCTTTCCCCCTTTAGTGGATGCTAATTCACGAAACTCCTCATTTTATGGACCAAGACCTGAGTGCCCAGCCTGAGTAACTATGTGGTGTAGCCATTTGCAAATGCAATTATAAATTTTTGAAGTTATACCCAAGAGCAGTTTGATATCTCAGTATTAAGCTCTGTGCTTCTTGATTTGTAGTGCCCACCTGCTGACTGCAGAGCCAGTACTCTGCACCGTGTGCCCAAAGCAAGCCTGGAATTTCCTTGCGAGGTCCGAAACCTTCAGCATCGTGGCCAGAGAGACTAATAGGGGGATTTTAAGGCTTTAAGTCTGCAGTGACCCAGTCCAGTGGATCCTTTTGAAGGTGAGTACAGACAGCCTTTCTGTCACAGCACACCTGTTTAAGCTGAAACACTTATTACCATCAGCCAGGAAGTGACAAACAGGGTCACTGTTCTCCTCAGGGTCATTGTTCCCATCTTCCACCTCTTGCAGAGCACCCAAACCACAAGGCAGTGAGCTAAACACTGCTCATCTGCCCTCCGCTGAGGATCTGCTGCTCTACAGCACGGCACTGTTGAATCATTGGGCCAGAAAGCAAGTGCACGCGAGGGAGCGTGGCTGTCTTTCCTACCGGTTTGAGTATTCACATGGGAGTTTGAGAATCTGGTCTCTACTCCCAGGACTGTTTATGCATCTTACATGAAACAGTCACCAGGTAACATATAATCCCTGATCAAAGCCCTCAGGGGCTTTAGGCAAAGCAACGCCCAGTTTCTGGATCTTCATCAGAGTTAGGTGTGAAATGGGCTGAGCTGCTTGGTCCTGTCAAGACTGGGGCAGTTCTGGGCATGCAAAAAGGTGGAACTCTAGATAGCTGAGGAACTTGGGAGTATTAAAAAAAGTTGGAGATTGAAAGGGCCAGATAGTGGCAAGGACTTAGAAGCTGCAGCAGGACGTATATGCTGGCATTTCAAACCAACGTGCAGATTTAGGGTACAACCTCCGGTGCTTCAGTAGTGAAGTCTTCTTACAGGGAAATAATTGTTCTCACAGATTCCTGAAGTGGAAACTTCTTTACATAACAATTTTATGTCTTGTTTTTTGTTTCTTTTGTTTGTTTGTTTGTTTTTAATGTCCCATTCCAGTCACTTCATTTGCTTGGATTTCTTTCTACTAGGCAGCATGTGCTGAGCTGCACAATGGTGGCTGCCGTATGAATAGCTTGTTATTCTTACCAAGCGTGACAACTGCTGTAGCAAAATCAAGAGCAACCTGCTCTAATGTAAACTGATTTCAGATTGCCTCCGGCAGTCCCAGCTACCTCATCTAACCTCTTTTTTTTGCCAGTCATTTTTTCTTTCTTTCCTTTCCTTTCCTTTTTTTTTTTTTTTTTTCTTCTGCTGAAGACACACCCTATGCTTTCTTACAAGGTGTTTTATCATGCTGGCTTTTGTACCACTGTCCCCAACATGCAGAGTGTCTCTGGTATTATCCTTGGTACTTTGCACAGCCATTTGGTTTCTCTACCTGATGCAGAATCCGGTTGCCAGCCTGCCCCAGGGTTGAGCTCTGCCGTTGCTGACGGTTGTACCCAAGAATACCTGGCTACAAAACACCACAGATGTGTGCCCAGCTCTTGATGGGGCTCTTGTATCTTTGATACCCCACCTGCATTTTGGAGAGTGCTGTAGGGCTTGATAAATGCAGACAAAGTCTTATTCAGAGTGACAGCAGTGTCAAGTGGGCAGCAGTTGTGCTGGTAAGGGAGAGGAGAACATGGAGGGTGGGTTTGGGGCAGGCAGTATTGCTGGAGAAGCAGTCTGATTTGCCAATCACAGCTGCCAGATCGGTGTGTATGATGGGTGTGATATAAATTACTACCTATAAATAAATACCACAACAGCATTTTAATGAGGTGTTTTCTAGTAGCACTTGTCCAGGCTGGTTGTGTTATGCTAAGGCTGGAGAAGTATCTCCAAGCAAGCATCTTGGCTAAACCTTCATAAACACGGTCTCACCCAAGATCTAACTATGATTTGTTTGGATAAGAGGTTTTGCTTGTTTGTTTCTGGACATACTTTCAAATACATATGGGTTTTTGCCTTTATTTATTTATTTATTGCTTCTTGGCCCAGGTTTTGTGTTGGTGTCATAGACCCTAACTGGTGCAGAGACAAGGGCTGAATCTGGTGCCTTTGCCGAGCATTCATTGTTGTTCTGACAAAAAGTTGCAGCATGGCTGGGTCATCTGTGTTTTTTGGGTGGGAATTTGGGGCTGTGACTCACAGGACTGGCCTCTGTTGCCCCTTACACACCGTCCCATCTCAGGGAGCAGTGTCCTTAGCTTCTCGTGGTGTGCCAGCAGATCTGGCGGTGCCGCCCGTGCTGTTGGTAGCTGTGCTCTCACAGATCCACACCCCACATCTGCACTGTGGTTCGCTAAGAGCCAGAAACCAGTCCTGAGGACTTTTCACAGCAGCTAGCGATTTTTAATGAGCCTTTGGCAGCCTGGGCTGCTGAACAGATGGCTGCAGATAAATGTGCACATATACACTGTTTATCTGTCCTGCTCTATAGGGTCCCCTCACAGTGTTGTATCGGATCCTGTAAGGTTGCCCCCTGCATACCTGAGTGCACACACTGCTTCATACAGCTGTGCTAGGGTAGATGTGAGTCTGAAGATCGGTCATGGTTTTCTATGAGAACCAAACAGATCCTGGTAGGAGGCAAATACTGAGGCTGGGGTTGCATTTGGAAGCTGTATCTCAGGCATGGCTTTTACAACATTTTAGTACAAAACAATAGTTTCATCAGAAAGCCTCTCAAATGCTAAATTGTCACCGCAAGAATGTACGAGTGCTGCATATATCCAAAATAAAGTCAAGAAACAGACTTGCTCATGAACTAAGGAGTTTTTGCAACTTTGATGCTTGTACATTAAAGGCAGGACCTCTTTTCTGCTCAGGTTGAAGATCTGAGAGAGAAAGTTCAGTTCTTTGATCCTTAAAGATAAAATCTCTGAAGTGAAGTCTCTTTACTGTCTGGACTTGTGATGCATACACCAAATTCATTCATATTATAAATAAGTAATAACTGGCAGGTGATGCTATGGAGATAACAGCTTCATTCTTTTCGAGGAATCATTAACTCCAGCCAGGTCTCCCAGATCAACAGCTATTAAAAAAAATAATAATAATAATTTTGATGGTTGGAGGGGACATCTGGAGGGCTACACTCCAACCTGACTAACTTCTATATGAGCTTAGGTTGCTCAGGGCTTTGTCATTACATTTTGGATATCTCCAAGGATGGGGATTTCACAAATCTCTCCCAGCACCTGTTTCACTGCATGCCTATTCTCATTTTGAAAAATTTCTTCTATTCTATTCAATGGAATTTCTCCTGCTACAACTTGTGGCCATTGCCCTTGTGCTGCATGCTGCTGATGAGAGTCTGGTTCCGTTATCTGCATGCAGCCCAGGGTGCAGTTGGCCATCATTACTCACAGGCACGCTGCTGACTCATGGTCAGCACTTTGTCCACCAGGACCCCAGTCCTCTGTTCAGTGAGCTCAGTGTTAGGCACAAACATGCCGAGGATGCATTCGCCCTATCATCCAGGTTGCTGATCAAGACTGGCCCTAGTGTTGTCCCCCGAGGAATGCCATTTGTTAATGCCAATTAGAAGTCTAGTTGTTGACCATTGTTGCCTTTTGACCTTCATAGTCCAGCCGTGTGCTTTTTCCAGCCGTGCTGTGGTCTGTCCCTCCAGTCCATACCACCCGTTTGGTAAGTGTGGGAGACAATGTTACAGGTCATACTAAAGCCAAAGTAAGTGACATCCACTGCTTCCTCAACCTTGTCCATCCAGCTCATAATCACAGCACAGAAGACAACCAGGTTGGCCAGGTACAATTTGAGCTTAGTAAATTCACGTTGCCTGTTCTTAGTCCCTGTCTTGTCTTTCTTCTATCTGGAAGTGGATTTTACGTGGACTTGCTCTGTAATATTCCCAGGAAATGTGCCGATACTTTACAACTGACATCTTTTTATTTGCTAATGCTTTGAGTAATGCCTTTCAGAAGAAGCCAGGTGATTACATGTGTGGGGTTTGTGAGTCCTCCAGCATGAGCTGTGTTGGTTGAAGGAATTTTTGGTAGAGAGTGGCTGAGCAGGTCAAACTCAGAAGCAAGCTAACCAGGACACTCCTGCTGGGAATCCCTTTCTTCCCAGCCTAGCCACCAAGGATGACCTGCCTACCATTGTTGTCATGGCTTTTGTGTTACCACAGGGCAGGAATCCTAAAGAGAGAAAATGATAAAAGAGGAGGAATGAGGCTACCAGACCAACAGACAGTGGAGTATGATATTGTCAGAGCTGGCACCAGGAAAGGCTTTGACTAGTTTGAGTAGGAGGAAGAAATAAGGAAGAAGAAGGGGTAAGGTTATCTGCATGGAGTGCTAGGTACAGGCATGGTCGTTTCTAGAGAGCATGAGTAGTTCAGTCAACAGGAGGGGTCAGGCACTTGCCAAAACACACATTAACACAATGGCATATAGTAGGTTGAATTCACAGAAGGCGGTTGAGTTTCACTAGGTAAGACATTGGCAAAGCAGTTGGCCTGGTCTGGCCCCACAGTCAGACCTGGTGGATTTCCAACCATTTTCTTTCTTACTTTCTATAGTCACACTATTGTACTTCAGGCCTCTGTGAATTAATCTGCCATGCCCTCAGAAGCTCTCTTTTGCTGCAGGGGCCTGGCTGCAGATACAGCACCTGCTTCTGGCCAGGGAGGCATCCAAGAAGTCCCCTGAATCCCTACTTTTCTGTAGAAAACAAAACTCCTGGAAATGCTGGTCAGAACATTGGTGGTCTTTGTGGGAGACACTGGGGCATTCTCAGCTGGAAAGGCTTGGCAGACCAGACACGTCCCCTGTGCATGAAACTAGCCCGTGTAATTGGAATGAAGGAAAGAGGCAGGAAGGTGCAGTGGTGGGAGGTGACAACTCTGCATGAGCACTTGGACAGGCAGCATTGGGCATGGCTTGCTAATTAGCAGAAACATACATAATCCTATTGTATTTCATTGTGCCCATGTTAATGTGACTGAGCAGCTGTATTCCTGTGATGGCCTTACCTTTGTAATCTTCTTACCTAGCATATGAGAAGACTTTCAACAGTGATGCACAGAAAAGCAAATAGGACGTTGGTGTAGTGACAACCCTGCTGTGGCTCCATGTGCATCTCTAATGGAGGAGACACGATCTCAGGCACATGCAGCTGAAGTTTGGATTTCTCTGCACAGCAGACTGAGGTTTCCAGGGTCCCAAGGTACATGTGAGTACCTGCACACTGGACTGCAGTCCCTCACACACTAATGAAATCTGACTTGCTGGGTCACCCTCCTGCTTCATTTGCAGTGACACAATATCATTTAAAGTTGTTTGCTTATTACAGAGATAATATCACAAGGTGTGGTGCCCTGATGGGAGTCTAGCAAGAAAGTAACACTCATGCACCCTCCCACCTTTGGCAGATCGTCTGAGGGTCCCTCATTGGCTTCGTGACGGAAAGTGGTTGATTCACCTCCACCCAGCGGTAATTACCTGTTGCTGTCTGCTGGAAGTTCCCATGTTTGGCACTGGAGTGGTAAGCCTAGAACTCACTGCTGAGATTAACTGCAATGTAAAACCATGATTTCTTGATGCCTCTGTTTTATATTCAGCCTAGTAAAAGTTGCTTAGTGCATTATATCATTTACTTGTGATATTATATAATCATTAAAATATGCCTAATTGCTGTTACCCTGATGTACTCATACTTCTCAGAAGCTATTTGCATGCAGCCTTCCCATCAAACAAGAGAGCAGTTCTGGTAGCAGAAGAGCTGGTGGTTTTTTTGTTGTTTTGCTTTATTTTTATTTTATTTTATTTTATTTTATTTTATTTTATTTTATTTTATTTTATTTTATTTTATTTTATTTTATTTTATTTTATTTTATTTATTTTATTTATTATTTTTATTTGCCTTTTAGGAGAGTCCTTTTTTTCTTTTTCCTCCCTCCTTTTATTCTAGATCCTCATGCATACAATAGAGCTCCTTCCAGAGGGGCTTTGCCCGCCCCTGAAAGCTGATCGTTTTAGCCCCTCAGCTTTAAGATACAATTACTCCCTTGTCAGTGCAGTTCTTACCGAACCAGGCTGGCTTGGCAGGTCTCCACTCCTTCTTTGTTTAAGTTTATTTATTTTTATATCAGAAAGGTAGTAAAATTGACAAAAGAGGTTTATTCAGACTCTAACTGTACAGTTTACCTCACACACAAAATAAAACATCCAGCACACTTCCTTTTGTTTGTGGCATCAATGCTGAACTCTTATAAAGCCACTTTACCTTTTGAAACCTTTTTTGCATCAGTGTCCCATGCTGAGTTTTCTGTTGTTTGCTCTGCACCCTCCATCTTTTTGGGATGTTGTTGGCTCAAAGTGGAAAACTTTTCACAGAAGTGAGCCCAAGCCTTTAGGGCCCCAGCAGGCAGGGCTTTCAGTGGAAGAGAAGGATGGAGAAATGAAGGGAGGGGGCTCCCACAGGGGCCATTTTGGGTGGAATTAGTGGTGCCCCCCTGAGCAGTTCATGTGCCTCCTCACTCAGCTTCTGTGGGTCCCATCTGCACAGGGGGAAGCTCCCAAACACTGCATCAGGACCAGCCATAGCCTCACTGGGGTCAGGCCTCCACTCGGCTGCATCCCATCCTGGAGCACCTCAGAGCTGCTGTGCTGAGTAACCTCTTCCATGGCACAAGCACTAAACCCTGGAGTCCTTACTCAAACAGTGGGCTCTCATTTAGGGATCAGATTTAGTATCCAAATGATCCTATAAACACAGCTATGGAACAGGAGCTGCAATCTATTTAGCAAGGTCTGTTTTCATGTATGTTCATCAGTGAGTTGGGATCAGAGTGGGTGTAGGTCCTGGGGATGGGTGACTGGAGTTAGCAAAGAAGAAAGAGGTGTGGGAGGATGGAGTAACATTTCAAAAGAGAATGTCCATTCACAACTCTGTTTCTAGCTGGTGTACACTAATACTCCTGCTACAATTATATATGAGGTCTGGAAAAATGAATAAATTGTCTTTAAAAACCTGGTTTAATTGAGAAAATAGAGCAGAGACAGCAATGCAGGAAGGAGAAATTAATTCACTCGATATTATTTGTTAACATACCACCTTCTCCGCCTTTATACACACTGCAGTAGTTCTGTCATCCAATGCAGGCACACAACGTGTCAACTAATGGGGACACTGCTGCTGGGGAGGCTCTCGGACAAGGTGAGCAACAGCCAGACAAATACTGAAATGTTTACTGCAGACGCAGGTTCATTTGTGACCTGGGCACTGGGACTACCCAGCCTCCAGCCCCATGTGTGTATTTTGGCGCCTGCCTTCCTCTTCTGAGGCTCTGCTCCTCACCTAGGCTGTATGTAGCCAAGTCTGTGCTCTGCAAAAGGCAATCGGTGACGTTACTGTGCTCTGCTGACCAGGGGTACTGTGTAACAGGTGTTCTGAGTGCACTGCAGGTTACATGCATGTTAACCAGCATTTTGACTTTGGAGAGGGCTGTAACCTACATCAGATGGTGGGCTGGGATATTTGCAGGCTTGTCCAAGAGCTTATCATGTTCAGCACTACCGAAAGCCTGGGGAATGGGATACCCAAATCCCTTTGGTGCTGTTACCATCCCAATCCAGCTTTCCTCGGCCATGCCTGGAACTTGTCCACCACCAGCATTGCTGGGTGTCCGTGCCCATGTGCTCTAAGTGCCTTCCTTTAGAAACAAGTGAAGGGCATGGCCTCCTGTGCTGGAAAACACGCACAGAGTCTCTGTGCTTAAACTCACCAATGGGTACAGCGCGAAGCCAGGCCTTGGGAACTCTGATTTTGCCTCCGACACCGTCTGATGATCTGAGTCCGGCTCTTGACAGCCCAGAGCTGCCACTCACCCTCCTGGAGGTGAGGTGACCCTGGCTTGGTGGGTCACAAACCCACACCATCAAACCCTCCCAAATGTATGCAGTGCATCATCACCTTTGTGCTACTCCCAGCTGAACAGAGAGAGGACTTCACCTCCCCTTCTTGTATCAGAAAGGTCAACCCCAGCACAGACTGCCTTTTCTTTTAAAGCCATTAAAAAGATTTTACATCATAAAATGCTGTAATAGCAATGCAATTAATGACTCTTTAGAAGCATTCAGAGATTACTGGCTCTTGGTGCAGTAAATAGAAAGCAGTAAGGTTCTGTAGTTCATTTCCAAACAGGTGAGTGGGAACTCTGAAAGCAGCAGCGATTAGTGTGTCTGCAGGTCTGGTTTCTCCTTTCCCTGAAGTGAAGGTAGGCGTTAGTCTGAGGTGTGCAACATCAACATCATGCCTGATCTAAGATTTGCCAATGTTCGTTTGTTGCTTTCTACTCTTTAGCAATCAGACAGAAACTTTTCAGCTGGTACCTTCTGGGTGACAAGGTTTGAGAAATAACCTTTCGGTCACTATTGCAGCATTGTGAAAATATTCTTAGGTGATAAGACAGCTGCATCCCATGAGTAGAGCTCATTATAGCAGCGCAACCTGTGTTCCCTGGTATGGTTCAGAGAGTTCACTACCAAAAATGTACATTACTTCTCTGGGTGGTAGTGTATATACTGCAAGAGAAATGCTCCAGATGGAGCTGCTCAAACTTACATTGGCATATTTGCCTGTTCTAGAAACCTTTACACTTGGTTCTGTTTAAGCACCATTAGTGGCAAAAGCTACATTGCGGGCTGTGGCAGGGGGACTGGGTCAGTAATGGCATGTTATGATAAATGGGCTGTGTTGTATCACAAATATTGTGATTGCTCAGGAGACTGGTGACCCTCTTGTTACATTCTGAAGCTATATTTAAGTTTCAAAATTTGAGTTATTTGCTATATAAGCCATTGTAAAAATGAGTATCATTGTAGTGATATATAACAAAGGTATCTCTTCCCAGTGAAGCAGTGTTGAGTCATTATATATTACCACCAAAGGAACAAACTAAGTTTTAACAACAATAGTTGGCAGTATTTCTATTAAATGGCATTAGCCAATAATTTCTAAAAAATGCCTGTTAATTACAGCATTCAACCCTTGCAGACAGTTCTATTTTACATGAGTGCAATCCAGTTTCCAGCCATCAGCTGAAGACCGTAGACTTTCGTTGTAGCTGAACAAGACCATATATTACCAGATTCCTTTCTGGGGTACATTTATTGTCACCATTTTGTTTTGTTTTTGTTTTTTTATTATTTTTGGTTTTGATTGGTTGGTTGTTTGGTTTTAATCCTGACACTGCCAAGTACCATTCAAAAGAGACAGTTTACTCACCGCTACCTCCAGGCAGCTCATCTGGCTGGTAAGCGACCTGCCGGCTCAGGTCCAGGGCAGCTGCTTAGCTCAAACACAGTGCTCTGCTGCTGCGGCTGGGCTGTCGGGGCAGCCAGCCTGGCTCCAGAGCCCAGGTGACCTGCTGTCCTCACAGCAGCCCTAACACCAGCAGCAAACTGCACGTCCAGAGGCACAGTGCTTGCACAGTGCCACGTCGCACTGTGGCAGCCAGCCTGGGCTGAGGACTGCTGGTGGAGCCGGGGTGGGCTGAGGAGCAGGAGCTGCCTGCTAACTGGGGCATCCTGCCCGTTCTGCCCGGGCATCTGGGCCATATTGTGCGTCCCTGGAATGCTGAACCCCCTTGGCATGTTTGGCAAGAGGGCTGGCACAGGGTGTGCTGCCATGGCCATCTGCTGCTGACCCTCAGCTGCTCACAGGAGGTATCTGCTGGGTTCCCAGCACATCTGGTAGTTGTCGTGTCATGCCACGAAGTGTTACCTTCTAGCTACACAAATGCATCCTAGAAGGCACAGAGAAGGAGCAGATATGGATAAATCTCATAGGCAACTGTAATAGCGGCAGGAAAAAAGTGATATTTGTTTTGTACTTATCACTTCGACTAGCTGTAATTATTATTGCTATTGTTAGTGCTTCTATTTGCAATATTACCTGAGGCTGCTCAGCCAGCACTGGGCTCCATTGTATTCAGCACAAATGCATCCAGACCCCTCCAAAAAGCTTCCAGATCAGAATGCAAGTGACGTATGATGGCAGAGAGGAGGGATAAAACCAAATGGATACAATTAGCCTAGGCACAACTTAGTCATTCTCTTCTTGGTATAATTATGAAATGGACAAAGGTAGCGCCAAATAACCTCAAATGCCCTTCTGGCCATAATTAATTATATTGCATAATAATAGTGTCAGTTTAAACATTGTTTAAAACCGATGCTTTGCTCAAAATTACTGTACAGCCACACTTACATCTTGCACAACAGACTAATACATAGCAGTGTCTTGACTTCCATTTTCTATTTCATTGTGTCCTCAGTGCATAGGAAAAGCTCTTGACCAAAGAGGAGTCAGTGGTACAGTGGTAAATAAAAGTGGGTAGATTCATCTGTCTGTGGTATAGAAGAAGCAGGTAAATACTCGAAGTGCCCAGAGTAGAAGTGGGTACAAAGGGAGTGCCCTTTGCCTGCATTTACCCTTGACTACACCACTTAGAAGAGTTGCATAATTGATACAATTGAACCACATCAGTCCTTTATTTATAGAACATAATGAAATGGTTTTCAACATCCTGGATCACGCTACATGGGTGATTGCCATATATGCATCCAAGGAGAATAAATAAAAACATTTCCCTAAGGTATTCTGTCTCTTCACCTTCTCTAGTTGCATCCAGGACTTAATTTTGAGAGATGTTCTGTAACTAGTGCAGCACGTAATCCTGTGCTGCTATTGCACACACTGTGTCCAGAGAAGAGCTGCAGTGATGCTGCCCCATAACATTGGAGGTTCACATTTCCCATGTAGTACATCAAGTGTTGTCATAGATCAGGGAAGCTTAGAGTGCACACATAGCTATACATACTGCAAACTGTTTAGCACAGACCCCCACATTGTACTGAAGTTACTCCTTTTTTTCAAACTTCATTAGCTTGTATTTGACATAAATCTAGCTTGCCTAGAAAGCAGACAGACTCAAGCTCATGTATATATATATATATATATATATATATATATATATATATATAAAGCTGTGGCATATGATAGTTGCTTTCAGTGATGGAAATGGAAGTGAGTCATGAAGCAGTCCCCTGATAAACACAAATGGCATAGATAATCTGAGCCCACTGTTTGAGCCGCAGGCTCCTGCACCAGCTTGTGCTTGTGATGATCGCAGAATCATAGAATCATTAAGGTTGGAAAAGACCTTCAAGATCATCTGGTCCAACCATCACCCTACTGCCAATGTCACCCACTAAACCATGTCTCTCATTACTGCACCTTGCACTGTGATCATCATCATCTAAGGACAAGTGTGGTCTACAACAGAAGCATGAGCATCAGGTAGAACTAAGAAAAGATTACTATAAAAATTACAAAAAATAAAACACTGCCATTATTTTTTTTTTTTCCTGTCATTGGAAAAATATGGATAATTCAGAAGTATTTCTCTTGCTGGCTGTTTTGTCCATCTTTACATGATGTTCTACTATTCCTATTGCATCATTTGAACTTGGCCTTTACTTATGATGCTACATTGTTTTATGTATACACTTTATAATTAGAACTACTAATTGCAAGCTTGCTTGTTGCCTTTAGTTGATTTTCCAGGGCATTACTTGCAAAAAGATCACAATTACTCAGTTCTTTTCAATTGCTCAGTGAGTATTTTCATACATAGAAACCAGGACTAGGTATTAAACTTACTGTATTTCTAAGCTTTAGACTGTGCCCACCTGATGTGCAGAAATGATCTGCATCAAAAATTTAATATTTTCTGAGGTGTATAAGTTCTCTTCTCATAAGCTTTTATTTTTTTTTTTCTGAATAAAATTAAAAACCAAATCCAATCAGACATACTGAGGGAGTTCTGTACTAGCTGTTACATTAAATTTTAATTGTTTGTGGTTTTTTTTTTTTTTTTACATGTATAACTCTAGCCCAGACATATTGTCGTATTCTTGATATGTTTGGGAAAAACAGCACACAAAAAATATCCATATAGTTTAATCATTCTGCAAGAAAGAGCTAGTCATTTCTATATGCATGCTGCAAACCTAAATACAATGGTCCCATTTTATCATTTGTTATTTCAACTTTGCTGATGATTCAGTGGTGTTATTCCAGTGCAAAAAAACTGGAGTAACACAGCAGTGAATCAGGCTCATTGGCTCTGCATCTCTCTATCTAAAATGAGGATCCACCTACAGGTAAAATACTATCATATTGCAAGTATCTCACAGACTGCAATCTGTTCTGGCATGTCAGATCTTCATCAGAAAAAGATTGCATAGGTTCAAAATTAAAGCACATGCTGAATGCTGTTTTAGTCAATGGGAATACTCGTGAACAAGATGAGCTGGTTTTGGCTTTTCTAATGACAAATCACTCCAATGAAAAATATCAGAGCATATGGTTACTTTTTTTCTTTTTTTTAATTGCCCATGTTTTCATTACCTGTGGCTGCCACGGATGGAGATAGCAGCACCTCCACCGCTTTCCCAAGCGGGCTGCAAGTTGTAGGGCCAGCTCCCTGCTGGGGACAGGGCATGCAGGCCAGAGGAGTTGCTGGGTGTGCAGTGAGCTCAGTGATGCGCTGACAGCAAGACGCAGTGACTCTCTCTTGTCACCACACTCTGATGCTGGTGACAGCTCCAAGGAGACACCTCCAAGTGTGTTCTTGCAGCAGTGGGAGTTACATGAGACACTACAGCTATTTTATTGGCAGCCACGAGCTCAGCTTCATTGCATTTTGGTAAAACCTCAATGGCAAATAATGCTAGAAAGTGCATATAAGTGAAATCAGCATATTTTTTCAGTATGAGTATTTCATGATTTATTAAACAGTCTCTACTCAAACTGCCAAATAACTTCCCCCTTCCCTTCCGTCATTCCAAGTTTGTTTCTTTCCAAAGGCAGTCTTAAAGGGCATCCCACAGAAATCTGCATTCAGTCATGCCTGCAGATGTAGCTCTCTCCCACTTGCACAAACACACATTTAGCTCTCGTGCACCTTGTGATTGAGCTGATTAATAAATAGATCCCAGGTATATGATGATCCTGATACACTTGGCAGGAAACAGCCAAACGCCTGTTGGGTTGAGCAACAGCCATCAGAGGACCTGAGCAATTAACTGAGTGTATTGATCTGTTTCAAGGTGGGAGGAATTACCAAGGTGAGCTGCCTGTGGCACACTGAGGGCTAGGAGAAGGGCTCTACTGTGCACCCAAGGATTGCACTGGGAACACAACTGGAAAAGCTCTTCTGTTTCCACCACATGGCAACAGCATCACCTTGGGTAGTTGCTGCAAGCACCCTGCGAGGCCTTGGACCCATGGCTTTGCCCAGCATGGCTCAGATCTCCACACCTGACCTGCTCACAGCACGAGTGGTGTCGTGTCACACACGCTGCAGTCTTCAGGGTGACATCAACACTGAGACATCACCGCTGGGCTTTGCTGGATTAGCACAAGCTTTTTCACCCCGTTAAAGGCTTTGTCTTTTGGTCTTCAACCTGTAATCAACCCAGGTGTTAGCAGGTGAAAGTTGGCACTGTCTGCTGGCATTCAGCTGGAAGGAGCTGATGGCATCAGGGTGCAGTGACAACTGAGTGACACCATAAGAAGAGCGGCAAGTTGTTGGCAATCCCAGCAGAGAGGGAAGGGGGGGCCATGACCTGCCACTCCCCTGCTGAAGACACAGCCTTGGTGGCAAGGTTTGGCTGCAGCAGATGGGAGATAAGCAGTGTGTGTAATTGCACTGCACAGCTTTCAGGAGCAGAGTGAAGGCTTCACTCTGCAGTGACACCCAGCCTCTACCAGCACAGATCAGTTGTCATTGTCAAAGAGACTTCAGGTGAACCCAGGAAAAGTGAAACATTGTGAGAAAAAATGAAGAATGAACCAGAAAGAACCTTACACTAACACTAATGCGAACACTGCTCTATTAAGAATTGTCAGACTAGTTTTTATCTTGTAGCAGAGAGATTGTTTTTGAGAACATATGCAGAGTGAAATGAATTCATAAACCTCTGTACCAGGTGCAATCATTAGTCAGTAAATGAATTACACATAATTATCTGCTTTGTATTTAATTCACTTGGCTTCCAGTTTCTTACTCTTCATACAGTGAAACTCTCTATCTCTCTCACACAAACACACTCTCCATGGGCAAGGAGGTTTTGGAGGGCTGCCATCATCCTGACTCATGAATCAGACTCCATGATTTGAATGATATTTATCTAAGCCTGCAAACAAAGAAGATGGCTATGTGTCCAATGAGAGAATAATTATTGTTATTATGTTTATAGAGCAACAAAGTCGGGAGTTAGGACCCCGGGGGAAAGGCGGCAGGAAGGGCGAGCTGGGCAGAGGCAGGAGGCTGTAGGCAGTGTTTCAGTGCAGGCATGTGCCAGGGCCCTTGCAGGGTTCCCTGCCTGTGAGTCACCTCTGCCAGGAATCACCCAGCGGCCAAGGCGGGTGGCGAGGTGATGCCTGCCTCAGCAGGGACGCTCGCTGGGAGCCGCAGGACCACCTCGCCGAGACACCAGGACAACGCAGGGCCTGAGAGGGCTTTGCCAGTGGCTGGAAGAGTTGGGGGTGGCTCAGAGCATCCTTGCCAGCTCTGCCACTGCAAGGCTGAGGACTGAGGATGGGGATGTGCCGGTCTGCGGTAAGTCAACCCCAGCCATGCGGGGTAGCAAAGCTGAGCAGCAGCCTCCTACTTGCAGTAAATGTTGTGTATTGTTTTCTTTGCAGAAGCCATCTGTACACTTATATCCACAACTGCTTTATTTTAACTTAACTAGAAAGAAAGGGAAAAAAATCCATAAGGGAAAAAGCCTCCTTTGCATGTAACACAGCTGCTGCCACAGCAGGTTGCTTAGAAATAGAAATGTCTCTTGGCATGGCATTTGGGCTCACCTTGCTCCGTGACCTCAGTGCACCGTTGGACAGAGGAGCCCTGCTCCACCGCCCGGGAGAGCTCTGGACACTGTGACAGTGGCAGTTCCTTGCGTGACCCAGGCTTGCTGCTGCCAGGTCAGTGCTCAGTGTGCTTACAGAGGGCAGTGACAGAGGAGACTTTACCTGTTAGGGCAATCTGTAGTAGGCAGTGAGCTTGGGAGAACCAGCAGTTTGAACACCATATTTCTAAAATGCACCTGCCACTCTAAATCGTCATCCTGCCTGGGACCTGTTAGAGCCTTCTGAATTTAGAGGGCACCCCATGCCACGCCAGGAAGGGGACCTCAGATGGCTGATGTGTGGCTGTTTCCAAGGCACACACCTGCACAAGGCTCAGGCAGGTTTCTTGCTGGGCTCCTGGAGACAGGCCAGGTCTCACCTGTGTTCACAGCCAACTCCTGCTGCATCTGTACAGCACAACAACAACTGGTAGCTTTCCTTCATCTTGGCACCACCAAGCAACAGCCCTGGTCATCACAGCCACTGATCTGTCTGGAGATCTCAGAGAAGAATGCCAGCCTCTGGAAATGGTTTGGCTTGTGGTTCAAGGACACAGCCAACCAATGTAAAGGCAAACAGCACTCCTGTTGAGAGAATCAGAGCAAGCGTTAACAACACACAGCCAGGGAGGCAGCAGGACAAACAGTTGAAATTACCTGTCAAATAACAATGAATTTAGAAGAAATCCTACATGAGGAATAAACCGTCCTGGTATTGGTCTACCAAGATCAGTGTGAAACACTTCCAAATTTAGCCTTTGTTATTGGAAGGGTGGCAAAACCAATAGCCTACCTAATAATCGATGCTTCAAAAATACCACTAAAAATAGAAAATAAATTGATGTTACTTCCAGTCAGCCCACTTTTAGAAACAAGTTTTATCTTGCTAGATGTTTTAACTGATGAATAAATCTATATCGCAGGAAGAAACATGGAAAGGCTTTGACTAAGGAATTATTGCCAATGGAATGATATGAAATTATACTTTGGATCACAAAGCATTCCTCTTGGGATGTGTATTGCAAGTGCTGGCTTTTATAAACTGTAGTAAATCTTCCTTACTTAATTCCCTCTTCAGAGTAACTTACATTTTCTGGAGAAGGTTGATAGAAAACATCTATGTGCCAACGTTAACAGCCCAGAGAAAACAAACAAAAAAAATCTTTTACATGAGAGCAATCAAAAATATTGCTGAGACAATACTGGCCACAACAGGAGAAAATGTGTTTTTACAGGCTTTTGGTAAAGTCTGGGAGTCCTGGACCAGGGCTGTCCTGATCCCACAAAACTGGTGCATAGCCTTGAGAAAGCCAGCCCAGCTCTCGGTGCTGCAGTCTGCCTCGCTGCAGCAGCGATGTGGCACTGTCTGCCTCCCCAGTGGCCTGGGAAAACAAGAGGACATCGCACTGGTTACCCAGACTCATGGCACTTCTGGGGCTGTATTTACCACTGAGGACTGCTGATTCTCTTGAAGATCATTTTTTAGAATGGAAAAGAACCTCCTGGAGGGACAGTCCTCTCACCCTCCAAATAAACAATCAGTTGGCCTAATAAAAATATTACTGGTCCCCACACGTTTGGTCTACAAGGCATTTTTAAGATCCTTGGATAGAGGAGATGAACAAAACAGTATATCAGGTGGGTAGAGAAATAGCTGAGCACAAGACTTCTTAAATAATATTGCATGCTGAGCAGTTCCTGCATCTCCTGCTCCCCCCTCAGTAATCCATATAGGCTTTATTATTAGAGGGAGAAAAGACAGTGCCCACACTCACACGACAAGGGCTCTGCTGTTTACAGTCCCAGAGAAATAATGCCATGAACTATGGGACCAACGAGAATGCCATAAATACTTCTCGCTGAGCTGGCTGACAGAAAACAGTCAGAAGTACAGAGCTATAAATTGCTGCTTCATTATAAATCACTGCATTTGGCACACCTGTTGCAGCACACCTTGGGGCTGTTGCTGGACATAACGTGCCTTTATTTATTTATTTATTTTAATGTTGCAACACAGATGGCAGCTGGCTTTGTACATGTGAGCATGGTCATATTGTCACATGCACCACAAGACCACAGAGCAGTCATACTCTTCACTGTCAAACCCAAGGAGGTTTCTGAAAAATGTGGTTCTGCAGTTGCCTGGTCTGACTGAGCACACATGGCAAGGCTCAGGCGCTGCGTAACACGGCTGTGCAGCCGGCACCCATCCAAACATCGCAGAGCGTGGGCAAAGCAAGTTCAGGGCTGTCTGCACCTGTCTGGAGAGATGTATTTTTTCAGCACAGTATGTGGACTTAGAACCAGGTCCTTTTCCAGTGTGAAGTCCGTCACAAGGCAGTGATCTTGGCACAAGATCAGTAAGGAAAAAAATATTTCAAATTTTGAGAGAGGAATTTTTCACAATTTACAAAAGGTTTGATGTTAACAAAGTTATAAATTGAAGTCAGTGACACAGGAGTGCAGGTTCAGCAGGAGAGTTTTGAGATAAGACTTACAGTCGCTGGACTTTTTGAGTTACACCAGTGAAGCTAGACTAGTATTTTATGGGATGATTAATAGTCTGTGCTTGCTGGGCTTTTACTAGTTTTTGGTAAAGATACTCAAGCAATATAGAATAGGAATATTGTTTACCAGCCCTGGGAAGATGTAACATGGCCCCTGCTGGGCCATGTTCTTCTGCGCTTTGGACGACTCAGAAGGGGACAGGGAGAAGGAGGAGGAAGAACCACATCCTCCTCTAGATCACAAATCACGTTTGTTTGTACCTGAAGGACCATAAATTGATCTGTTTGCAGAGTACTGGCATGTAGCCTGGGAACTTCCATTAAAAGATGTTGCTCCACTGCACTGCACCTCTCAGTGTCAGAAGTGGCATCTTCAGCATGCAAAGAAAAGCTTTAAGACCATGCCTGTGGTAAAGAGAAAACACCCTGATGGATCTGACAGCAGAGTTCACCAGTGCTTTCCCATGGGACACCAAGATATTTTCTCCCTTGACATTGCAGCACGCTCTGGCTCGCAGCTTTTATTATTGCATTTTGTCCTGTTGCACCAGCCTTGCTATGGCATGAATATATGAATTTGTATTTTGGGGATGTAATCTAGCACTGACCTACTGCGGTTCTTCACACACACGTAACGAATCCTCTGGAGCCGGGGAGAATTTGGCTCTCCAAGCTAATGGCAGGACAGGTCATGTCCTTTATGTCCCGGGCACAGGAGATCTGCCTGCATGCCCACAGTCCCAGACCTTCCCAGCCTCATTCTGTCTGCTGCGACGGAGGAGTCATAACCTGGGCTCCCACGAGCAGCTTTGTGGTGTGACCGGGCTCTGTGAGGCCATGGCAATGAGTCCTCCAGCACAGCTAATGGTCACGGCTGTGAAATACAACCTTTTCTGAAGAACCCACTCCTGCCCATGCTTTCTGCCACCCCGTGCCAAAGTAATGAACTAACCTCATTTACAATTGTTTTGCTTGACATATGGGTCCCAGATAATGAGAAAGAGCTAAAAGAAGGTCGGTTTAACTCAATATGGGGAAGTCCCTACTGCACTGGGTGTGGGTATATACTGGTGAGCTTGGCTCTACAAGAGGGAAAAGGACAAAGGGACAGCCAAAGAGAGGAGAAAAGCTGAGCTGGGAGGGAGGGGCAGAGGAAGATTTTGTGTGCGCCTGGGAAGGAAACAATGGGACAAGGGGAAGGAATTAAAAGAACCACATCCTTCTCTGCATCACACCCCTGCAGTTTAAGTTACTCCCTCATGCTGGACCAACCCATAGCGCCTAACATTGCTCCCCTGTGACTGCTGTGGTGAAGCTCTGTCCCATCAGATGTGTCTTGACCAGGCACCATGAGGCCAGCAATGCTCTTAGCATGGCAGATAAAACTTCCCTCCTTTATGATGACATTTTGACATGTCCCACTACTCTCTCTAGCCTATCCCAAGCCCCTGCACCTAAGCTCAAGTGCCACAATTTGGAACATAAGCCAAAACACGTTCCTCCCTCCCCTCCATCTCTGATCAAGCCAACCCTGAGCCCAGCTCCCTCCAAAGCTCTCTGCAGAGCTTCCAGTCAGGACATCTTTACAACCCACCCACCCCACTTCCCTGCAACTCCTCCTGGGGAAACGGTCTGTGAGGAAGGGAAAAACGCAGGACAGAATTTCCTTGCACCTTCTTGTGCCTATTGTCTTCTCCTCTCAGCTCAACTCCCCGCTTATGGATGGCTAATTAATGCCAATATTGATGTCTTTTTCCATTATTCCAATATTCCATAATGTACTCATACCATTTATAATATTCACCCTTCTGCACTCTTTGAAGATTCAAAGCATTTGCAACCATTTAGTGCTTATTTTTCCGCAAGGCAGTGCAAGATAAGTGGGGATGTCAGCACTAGCAGCCCCCCCTAGCAGGTGGACCAGTCAGTACAGAGGGATACGGATTACCAGTAGCACCGTCAGCATTTGCCGTCCCGTATGAGGTCTTCTGTTCCAAGCAACAGAACAGAAATAGGTCTCCTCAATTTACCATTCCCTTCAATTAACAAATGTCTGAAAGTGCCCAGCACTGAGTCAGCTTAGAATGGTTTGGGCTGGAAGGGACTTTTAAAGCTCATCTTGTCCAACCCCCCTGCCATGGGCAGGGACACCAGACCAGGTTGCTCAAAGCCCCACACATAAATTTAGATATGTAATGTATATATACCTATATGCAATAATATATATTATATACATATACATCTCCACGTAAGACAATCAGGTTTGATTTTGCTTCAATAAGCCTTTGAATCTTGTTGAAGTATCCGTTAGAACATCTGAGGTTTCTTTTTTGGCAGGGGAACTACAAATGTCCAACTTCCCTGTCTCCAGAGACTGCAGAGGAACTTAACCCTCTCTCAGAGCACCCATGACCAGGAGCGCTGGATTGGCATTCACTTAGGAGAAGCGTAAATCAATCTGAACACCACCATCCTCTCAGCTCTTAAACTCCTATGGCTCTGAAGTCACACCTTAATAAATAGCACTACTACTTGGAGACCTTCTGTTGCTGAGAACAAGGCCAGTACGAGGGGACAGGTTACACACTTGGAAGCGTACAGAGTCCTTCAGGATTTATTTGTTCACTCCAGAGAGAAAGTGAGTCATGAGAAACCTTAAGGTGGAGCACTCAAAACAAGGAGTGTATAAATGATTAGCAAGGGAAGGTCAGCACTAGTCCTTCAAGTCTGAGCATGCCCCATTGTCGATGGTACATAAATAATACCAGCTGGATGTTTGTGGTTGTAGGAGAACAGCTATCACACTTCTAGTTTCTTACACGTCTCTGACTCATGTAATACAATCAATGAGGCTGATCTCAGTTTTCTTATAAAAAGATAGTTAAAGTTACAAGAATAAAGTGGTTGATAAATGGAACTCAATCAATAGACCCACTTTCAAGACAGAAATGCAGCTTGACGAAAGCCAAGTTTATTTTTTAAAATCAAACAAACTTTTTACTAGATGAAGATTCAAAGAGGGATGAGAAATGAACCTGAATTCCACTTGCCATAATGCAGCAGTGCAATAAATCATCCTGTCTGATAAAATCCGATTGCAGAATCTGTATTAACACACTTATGCAAATGAATGAAAAAACACTGCATGTTTTCTTCACAGGTTGAATTTAGTGTATTTGCAGAGAACAAAAAAATCAGTGAGCAGGAACAATTGGTCATTCACTCAGAGATATCCAACAAGATCACTGGGATCTTTTTTTTTTTTTTTCCTAAGACACAGTTCTATAATATAGATTTTACAGAAAATGCTCTGGGTAATATGTAAGTATGCTAAACACATTATCTCTAGATCCACTGATACTTGTGATATTGCATGATATGGCATCTAACTACTGAGTACAGCTGTTGAAAGGCTGTAGGTTCTGCTATTTTCACCAGTAGCAACTGTACTTTACTACAGGGGAATCCAAGCCACTTTTGTACTTTATTATCCAGCTGTGACTGCTCTCAAACATTTCTGACACAAAATCTCTCATGAAGGTACTGAGCACCTTTTCCAGGTGTACTAAGCTTTTCTTCAGATACTCCTTACTAAATTACTTCCCGAGAATTTAAGTTGGACAGGTGAACTGCAACATAGAGACTGGCCAAGTCCTGAATGGTGCAGAAAGCAGAAGCTTCTGTGGAGTGTGAAGGTATATAATCACATACCTTTATCTGGTCTTACATTAATACACACTTAAGTCATTTCACAGACATCTGTATCAGGTGTACAGCATCAGGTGAAAAAGCAATATTTTTCAGCTTATTTCTGTTTAGAAATTCAAAAGCACAATCCTACCACAACCCAGCAGTTAGAAGCAATGTCAGGAAAAGTTATATATTTACATACCACAGACAAGATGGTCATGAGTCTGCCCTTTCTCAGGGAGCTTCTCTTGCGCATTTTCTTTCATGCAGTCACTCAAAGACACTTTGAGCCCTATATCCAAGTAGATATCTGGCTGAAATAAAAAGAAGTCACATCTGAAACTGATGTGGCAAAGAGAAAAGAGACCGCAGAGATGCTAATTGTATTCATCGAACTGTGGGGAATGAGTTGGATGGGACACCCTGCACTGCTGGATGGAGAGGACCAGTTAGAGCAGGGTTGTGAGGAGCACAGAAGTGTGGTTCAGTGGCTCCTGTCCCAGCTGGAATAGGACAGGTGACAACCAGATGAAGCCCATACAAAACCTGAATGTTTGCTGGTGCTACCTGCCCCCCCTTGCTCTCAGGCAGTGAGTGGCAGGAAGGTGACTCTCCTGTCCTCTGCCTCTTGAGGCAGGAGGCAAGAAGGACATACGTAGTTCCTGGGTGTTCAGGTAAGGAGAATATTTGGGCTTGTTGTAATATGTGCATGCTTTCCAGTCTCAGTGCTATCTCCCTTACCAACATTTCCTTTGCAGTCACCACTTTCTGACTGGGGTAATTCTCAGCTCTTCTGGGGATACTCTAGTGCTGGTGATTTACTGAACTACAGAATTAAAATGTGATTTTGAATTTTAATGAGGTTTAGCATTGTTCAGAACTGTACAAAGTTCAGTTAAGTCAATTTGCATTTTTTTCTATCTATATACACGTATAGCTATGTGTATCTTGTCTAATAATGCATTTGTGGATGTGGCCCATACATTGCCTTAATTTGAGAATCTTAAAACACTTCTCAAATATTAACTATGGAATATAGAAACTTTATTCTGAACTGTTCTTAATCCTCAGGAGAGCTAACATGCAGGGAAGACATACCGTCTTCTGCACAGAAGGTGTATTGGGTAGGGACCCCAAAAATTCTGACATTGAACTAGCCAAGGAAAGAGATGGGTCTCTTGCTTTGGTAACTGAATGTCAACGCCTTGTTTGTCAGACAAGTTAAAATAACACTTGATCATGTCTGGTTTGCAGATTTATTTATCCTTTTGCTTTCTGATCAACAAAATAATAGAAAAAATATTTGAAAAAAATCATAAAAAGCTGTGTGCAAAATGCCAATCATTATACAAACAATAACGGGTGAAATTGTGAGATAGGATTTGCAATGTCTGAATATGTGGCAGAAGGAAGCTGTACCACTGGATGGCTGCAATATCATCTTCAAGTTGTAAGACCCCTTTCTAAGCCATTACAACAAAAGTTATATTCTGAGTTTGTCCTATCTTTATCCACCTTCTGCAATCATGTGGATATCCCCTTGTGCAGCAATACAGTTAGGGAAATGAGCTAAAGCCTAATTACTTTATTTAGATAGTTGAACCTCTGAAATGCATAAAGCCTAACTGGTCTTGTAAGTGCTGCATGTGGACTAGGCTCACATATGTGCATTGCATTTTTGCCTAGAATTGTGTTGTTCTTATGCATTTCTATGGGCACAGTGAGCGCTGATACGGGCATGCAGTTTACTTATGCAGAACTAAAGTAATGACGTGCAGTCTCTCGTCTTTTCTTCTTTGGGAGGTGCTGCAGATGGCTGCTGTTTTCAAAGCAATTGTTAGTGAAATTATGTCTGCATCCTTTTGTATGAAACAAAAGAATGAGACGACAAAATATGAGTTACAAACTAACAAAACAGAGGTTTGGCAGTTGCTTTAGATCACAGGAAAATGTCTCAATCCACATACATTTACATGAATAAATAACCAAATTAACTACATAAGCGGTGCTATGATTCTTTGTCAGTGTGATCCTCTGGATTATGCAAAGTATACGAATGTATGACAGCAGACAAGCATTTCAGAGAGGAGATAGGTAACTCACATTTCCTTGCAATGAACTATACTGAAAAAGGATGTTTAAGCCTGTAAGCTCAGAATTGCTGTGCCATCATCACACAAGCACATTACTGAGACATGGCTGACTGGAAGCACAAACTTATTCTCACAGAAATCCATAACAAAAAACATGTATTTATTCGTTTTAAAAGACATGAGGAATAACCCCCAAAGCTGACCAAGCTATTTCCTTCTGTCCCCTTTGTTATTTTCTAGTATCTCTGGGCCTGAGTCAAAACCACAGCTGTCCACCCAAGCTTTCCCACTGATTTCTGTGGGGCTTGGAAGGGGCCTGCGTGTTATCTGGCTTTGATGCTGACCTTAGCTTGTCATCTCATCTCCCAGGCTCCCAGGAAGACAGAAGAGCAGACCCCAAACAATGTGAGGGAAGACGTTGGGTAAAGTCTGCCTGGCACAGGTTTCAGTAATTGCCTTGAGATATAACTGATGGCGAGGCATGGATTCAAAATCCAAATGAAGGAGTGATGTCTCAGCATGATATCCCATGTGTCTGAAGAGCACCAAGCTCACTGGAGAGCAACAAGCTCACTACAGGGTGCTCCCATTATAGGGCACCCCCAAACCTCTGCATTGTAGAAGGAATAAAAACTGAAGGCTTTGGGCAGTTTCAATGATTTAATAATAATAAAAAATAGAATTGTGACTGAATTTGATGCTTGCCTACAGTTCTTGTCCTCTCAATTTTGCCAACATACATTACTGTTCCATTTTTTTCTAGGAAAATAGGGACATACCTGGAAGCTGTAGCTTTCTGCTAGGACCTGCAGCCTTTTGAGCAGCCGTCTACAAGTGACTCAGGCATAAATCTGCTGTCATCCAGAATGGCACAGAGAGCATCGCTATCATTCCCAGGCTTGCTAGCAGAACGTCTAAAAAACTAATGCCATGTGTTCATGTCCTGGCTCAGGACACATCCTTTAACCAGTGTTCTTTGTGGACCAACAACCTTCTGTTCTGTCACCCATGTTCCCTCCTAGCCTGTACAAAATATGTAAAGCACAAGAGAGAAAAAGTCAATGAATGCTCCATTTACTCAGTAAGGGCTTGCACATGAGATGGAATAACACGTGGCACCCACCCAGGATTACATCAAAACATCGCTCTGCTTAAACATGGTGGGTTTTGACTGAAGAAGTAAAATCAGGAACTAGTTAAAATTAGAGGAATAAGGTAGAGTTTAATAACCACAATAGACAGCTTCTGACCATGCAGTAGTGCAGAGGTTTACATAAACCCAGAAACTTTGCAGAAGCTGGCAAAGTGGCTGGCAAAAAACATGCAGGACACATCCAGTGCTATTTTCTAAGGTAGGCAAATGGGAGGGATGTTCGTTTCAGTAGGAAAATAGAAGTACTCCTTTATTCACTCCTTTATTCACACCTAGGGAGAAAATATCTACTGTTGACAATAACCCCAGCACACACAAGAAGCCTTCTCTCTGCCAGAACGTGCAAGCCTACAGACATGAAGTAAGGTTCTCCCATAATAGGACACCCTCAGACCTCTGTATTTTAGGAAGATCAACCACCCACTTTGTAGACAAGCTCTGCGTTCAGGATATCTCTGCTATTCCTGAAGATCTGTGGCTGCTTCTGGGAAAGAGTAGAATTTCAAAAAATCATATTTTAGGCTAGTGAATTATTATAGGTGATAATTTCCATCATTCTTTTTAAAGGGATGGTTCAGTGGCCCTTTGAGAATTTGAGTATATCTTGTTTTTGCTGTTTGGACTAGACAGACTGCAACCATGGATTTGAAAAATAAATAACTTGTTAATACCCTGCTGGCTTTAAAAAAGAAATTTTGGCATATGCATCTTCCCTTTGGGATTTTGACTTCTAAGATCTGAAACCCAAGTAGCAGGGGAGCCATCATTTGGCAGTAAGACAAAGTGTGGCACCGTGACATTTTCTGTTCAAGCAAATCCTTGCAAATGCACATTTTTTCTGAAGTGCAGGTAAAGGTTTAACACTGTTTAAACCTGTAGCTGGATGGACTAAGACTCTGAGAAATAAAGCCACTAGAAAATGGTATTTCACTCATGTGGCTCCATGAGTGAAATACCATTGCCGAAGAGAACCTGAGCATCACCACAGGCCAGGATTATGAACCTGAGGGCTCAGCTCCCTGTTGTAACGGCAGTATAAGTGTACTGGATGAGTTTTCAATTTAAAGAGCAATAAACCTTTTGCCAGTCAACCCCAAAATATACCTAACCACTGACTCCTTACCCCTGCATATTGATGACTAATCTGTTGTGCTTCTTATCCTCATCGTGTTCCTGTTTTCTCTGTTTTCTCTCTTGTTTTGTAAGCTCAGACCTGCTAAACAGTGCTATAGGACTTTTCCTCTCCAGTCTTGGTGCCATTTTGTACTACAGCACTCTAGTGCCACTTCATACTGTGACGAGAAATAACGCATCGACTGCAATGTATATTGCTCGTGTTCTTCTTCACTGCAACAATGAGTCATTATTCAGAGTATGTTTATGTAATATCATAAATACCAATCTCTGGTATTTATGCAGCATAGTATTTACTTGGGCAAGTTGCCACATGCACTAAAGAAGTAAACAAAGAGCCATTCTTTGGAGGGTTAAAAAAGTCTTAAAATGAATCCAATTTTCCTTCATAAGGCACTCCTTGTTATTTTACCTAAAGTGGCTCTTTAAGATATACAGTATGATAAAACACACAATTCCTGGGAGACGTAATTATGGTTCCTAAGAGACTGGTGAATAAACAATCAGGAAAAGAGTGTTTGTTTTCCCTAGGTTTTTCTTAACTATTAATGGAAGGCATTAAAAAAATGGGGAGGAATGTGTTGGGTCGATACATGGTAAGAAAATTCGAGGAGCACACTTCACTGAACACACAGGGTTTCTGCCTTAAAAGCAGTACTATTTTATTGGATTGCAAATAATCCTATTTTGCAAATGTATTTGCGGTGGGTGTAAATACCACAGTGGACTCTTTGTTTGTTATATTTAATGTACTGCGTACATCAATGGCATGGTGCATGTTCTAAAGTAAAGAGCTTGCCTTGTCTCACATTACCTTTAAGCATTAACACAAACAACTTCCTTCAAATCAAGGCAACAAAATCTTCTGCATTGAACGAAATGTTCTATCTGACACAAATTCCTCAGGAGTGGCGGGGGGGCCCGCCTGGTGCAGCGCTGAGCAAACGCCTTCCTAGCAAATCAGGGTCACTGCAGCCAACCCTATGTATACGTGGCCACTGGAAACCTACAAGATGGCTGAGGCAAAGCTGAATCAACAACTGAAGAAAACCTTTTTGCAACCTGCACGTATGAGGATGTAACTGAATCGGGGACAGTGTTTAATAGTATTGGTGCCCATAACGTCACCCAGTGGTCTATCACCTAAAAACAGAAGATCCCAAAGTCACTGACCACTTCTCTACATCAGTTCCCTGTCCTGTAAATTAGACTGATGAAACCAAGTTATTCTATTAGATGCTGTGAATTTTTAATTTGCTGTCATCTATAATATCTGAGCAAGTGATGGACTTCAGAGTACCCTCGTAGAAGCACAACTTCACACCGCAGGGCCCGAACAGGACCAGCACCTGCCACTGCGGGTTTTTACCCTCGTGAATATAACCATCAGATCTGATTAGTTTAGCAGAGACACATGGAGACTTCACATTTCTCCTGTGGCAAGTAGGTGTCAGAGCAATAGATCACACTGCTATAATTAATATTCATTTATGATCCACTCACTTCCTTTTTTAAAAAATACAGAAAATTCATGGTAAGGTCTTTTATTCCAGAAGATCTGAAGTAAATGTTGATGCCATTAGCAGGCTGAGGAGCACACAGCTCACGAGCTATGAGTTACTGCCTAAGTGATGGGAGATAAAATTTTGTCTCTTTTTCTCTATCCTTCATACACAGATTTGCAAAAATGGTTACAAGAGAAATGTATGCACAGGATGAATCTGGTCAAGCTAGTACTTGTTCTTGTCTTAAGGATTTATTAGAGAAGTGAATAAACATACTTGTTGTGGTAATTAACCCCATGTAAATCACAAATCCTGCCTTTATAGGGTTTTGTTTGTGCTGCTGTCATTAAGGGCTATTCAGTGTTTCCAAACTGAAGGCAGGCCCGAGGTAAAACCCCGTCAAGCAAAGGGGAAGACACGCAAAATGAGGGATAAAGGAGCCCCTGGCAGGGGGACCCCTTCAGGAAGCCATCCCCCTTGTCACTGGATCACTTCCTTGAGGGTCCAGAAAATGAAATACAACACCAATAACAACCATCAAGTCTGAGCATCTTCGGGCAGTCTCGGCTTGGTAACTACACTCTCGTCATCTAAAAAAAATAAAATAGATTTACCTCCAGCCTCTCAGTCCCCAGGCCCTGTTCGTGTGAGGCCCATTTCCCTTAGCCAGACAAACAGAGTTCAGGGTCTGGCCAGCCCAGAGCTGCCCCATTGTGTGTGGCACGTGTGTGGCTCAGGATACCACAAGCTGATGAAGAACAAACTGCTCATGCAGTGCTGGGCTAGCTGCTCCTCAGCCTCTGGATGGTCCCTTCCAGAGTCTGTAGCAATCTTTTCATTGATTTCAACAGGCATTGGGTCAGGTTTAATACTCCCAGACAAGACACCTGAACAAATGCAGAGTGGTAGTGTTATCTGATCTTCTCCTTTGGTTTGCTGGGCTGATCCTGCCTTGTTTCTTCCAGCAGTTAACACCATGAGTAAAGGAAGCCCCTCTCTAGTAGGAAACGCCTTCCCTCCTGTAACAATCCCCCCAAATGAAATAGCAGCAGTGCGATGCCTTTGAAGAAAATCTGAACCAATGCTATAATGCTGAGTGGATACTTCAGTTCAGCAGGTTGCTAGACCTCTTGCTGACATCTGCTCTATAGAGCATGCAAACGATTAAGGTTCGGTAAGAGCAACAAGGAATGAGATGTTTCTGTACACACACTTCTGATCACTTCGGTAAGGAGTGGTCGATCAAAGATGCCTTTCAGTTCAGGCCACTTCTTTCTAGAGGAAGTTTAATCAATGAATAATCTGGAGCCACCCAGTTAGGAGCCTGCTGGAGAACTGGAAATATAGTTGGTTTTTCATAGGTCAATACTGCTTGTGAGACAACTACACTTTTCCTCTTGTGCTATGAACCCATCCTGTCTTCTGGCTACACTGGTGAAAAAATGATCACCCAACAAAGACAGCACAACACAGCAAAATTGAAAACACATTTAGCAATTTGCATACCTTGCATGCCATAGAACACCCCCAAATCCTGGTGGAAATGTGCATAATGTGCCAGACATCTTGAACCCAGGAACTCCCCTCCCCATAATCCCTCGGGACCGAAAAGTTTCTGATTGTACTCCAGCTTCCCCATAAAAGCTTCATTGTTACTGCAGCCCAGCCTTTACCAGGAGTCATGGCATTGGGCCACAGCCTCCAGGGACACTCTCAAGCTGCACAAAACAAGTTTTTCCAAACAGTTTAAGTATTTCCCAGCCCAGACTCTCACATTCTAGTTGTTTGTGCAGGGACAGTAACCCACCAAGCCCTGCCTAAAATACTGGTTGTTTAAACTCCACAGAGACGTTTTTTACTAACATTCCTTACTGCTGTAACCTCTTGACCATTTTAAACTACTATTAACGGGCAGACTCCATAGGCCTAATGTCAAGGAGTCATCCCTGCTGCAAAAAAGCAGCAGGCAGACAATAGATACATAATTACTGCTTCCTTGGGACCACTAGTTCAGCTAGAAATCTCTTGGTTCAACCGTACTTGGGAGCAGTCCTTGAGATAGACATAGTGCCAGCTCAACAGCTCTTAGTCGCGATCCTGCTGTCTGATGAAAGGGAGAGAAGGGGCCAGGTGAGAGCTGAAGGGCCCAAGGGGCAGTGCCGTGGTCCAGGGGCACTGGGGGAGCTGTACCTGTTGGAGGGGCCCGGTCCACACAAGGGGCAGCAGCACCAGCGGCCGGCTCAGCGCTCAGCTCCTGTGCTCGGTGCCCAGAGCACCCGGGGCAGGTCTCCGAGGAGGGCAGGTGGCCCAGTGCCCATGCACAGATTTCACCCTCTCAATGATAAGCAAGGAAGTGCTGCAGAGGGAAAAGGCCATTGGAAAATCACTTCTTGTAATTAGGTTTCTTCCATGGGAGCAGGGGGGATCCTGGTATTTGTGCCAAGGGTGCAGGCAGGCTGGGTGCAGGAATGTGATGGCAGCAGGGAGAAGCTGGGGAAAGAGGAATGGCACTGGGACACTTGGCAGCTGCCATGATTGCCTCTGAAGATGTCTCTCATGCACTGCTCGTTTGCAAGGGGCTGCTGCATGAGAGTGGCACAGGCTCCCCGGCTCCTGCCAGCCTCTTCCACGTGCATTACATGAGCACCCAAAGACCATGATCTGGCTTGCAGGGAAGGGCTGGCAGCCTGAAACACACTGCCTTTGGGGATTTGCTGAGAGCGGCCATTTTCCATAGGGACAGCAGCAGCCTATCCTGGCCCCACAGGAGCCACCAAGCTGCACATCTCCTCCCTGCAGGGCAACAGCTCCCCAGCCCCACTTAAACCGGCACCAGACCCTGGGTATCCCACACCTTCCCCTCTATCCTAGGCCTAATCGAGCTAATCAGGGCAGTCCTTTGCTAAATTAGTACTAATTAATGAAACGCTAATTAAAAAAAGGGCTGACTGTAATTCACAGCTGCTGCTCGTCATGGACTCCTCTCTCAGCACTCAGGAGGCACTGGTGTCTCTGCCTTGCACCGAGGAGGTTAGAACAAATCAAAGGCATGGGCACAAACCACTGGGATGCTCCAGCCACACTGCCTGAGCTGCACGGGGCCCTTCAGAAGGTGGCTTTTAGGTGGCTTGCTCTGCAAAGGCGATAAAGTAAACAGAACTGGAGCTAGAGAGGAATTTCTGGAGTGCTCAGCACTGGGCCTGGCCTGTGCCAGGAGCCCAGGCTGCCCTTAATGAGCTGCTGCAGGCTGGTGAGTGCCAAGTGGGCAAAGCCTTTTTGCAGGTGTCTAAACACACACTGCAGTCTGAGGGGGGGGGAAAAAAAGGCTTTAAAATGTGCTCGTGAATTCAGTCAGGGGTGCTTGTGCCTAAGGGCCCTCAGTCCATCAACACTTTATCCCCTTGGACATCGAGTGGCTTTGGGCAGGGCTGAGGACGGTGTGGGCGCCAGCTGCCCTCCCTGCACACTGCCAGGCTTTCCACTTCGTGGCAGTGTCCTCTCCAACGAGGCAGCCTCAGCAAGCAAGCATGTAGCACGGCATCACCTAATGCCTCGGTAAGGCCCTTTGGCTCAGTTTGGTCTAATTTGCTAACACACACACCATAATTACAGGGCTTGTGTTTAGGCATATCTCAAGAGTTCCTCGTACATGTAATAGGAGAGGCTAATTCATCTGGAGCCCAGCAGGGAATAAAAGCCCTATGCCATCCAGGGCCAACCCATATAGAGGCCATCACACAGGTGAGAAGAACCTTGAAAGCCACGGGAGATCTGTTGCAGATCAAAATTGACGTCTGGCAGGGTTCTGCTTTTGCACCTTACACTTGCTTCCCAGCACCCCTTTTGGGTGCCTGCTGACAAGTTGGAGGCAGGGACAGAGGCAAGCTCCCTCACAAGGGTGCCCAATGCCACTCCAGCCCCCCTGTTCCTTGCTTGCCCCATCTAGGGACACCTTGGCAAGCTTGAAGGCCCCAGCCTGGAACAGATGGGCTCAGCTGCCAGGCCAGAGGGTGCTCTGGGGAGACAGTCACCAGTCTGCCCATGGGTGCACGATGCAAGGAAGGAGACCCGGCTGCTTACTCAAGGCTTTTTGCCAGCATAACTACGTTGCTTAGAGGTGCACTACCTTTCTTTTTCCTGATCAGGGTAACTATGTCCGCAAAAATCTAAATAGAGACCAAGCCCAGGTGTGGGAGTTGATCCTTTGCCTTGTGCGTGCCCAATGGCAACATCTTGTGTTGTCTAATAAGCTCTATCTTGCATCTCTCAGCGCACAGGTTGAGCCTTGGAAATGCTTCTTGGGTGTCATACAAACCCCTAGCCAGGTAATGCAGAGTGGGCAGCTTCTGCAGGATCTTTGTTCTCCCTGAATGACATCTGCTGCAGTTCTGCACTGAAACTGTCCTTGCTCCAGACTCAGCGCCGCTCTGCTTTTAAACACTGATCATCAGAGCTGGTTTACATGCTTTGAGATGCCAGCAAACCAACAAAGAACAGCTGACACAATTCACTGATGGAAAAAGCAGTGCGTGGCATTTTTTTTGGCCTAGAAATGTATCTCACAGTAATGAAACATTCTGGTAGAACTGCTGTGAGCCTGTTCTCCGGACAGACCTGCACCTGATGGAGCAGGACTGTGCACTGTGCAATTACAAGTTAGCAGGCTCTGGGGGTAACTGAGAGTCTGTGCAAGGCCCCAAGGGCTCAGCACCCAGGGGGCTTGTATTTCAGCAATCACTGTAATGGATCCTTTTTGCAATACAGTGAATTTCTGGTCTTGAAGTGGAACTGTTGTGTGAGGGCACAAAGCAATGGTCCCAGCTCTGTGAGCAGCTAGTCTTTGGGGAAATGGGAGGATGGCAGTGTCACCAGCAGGGTTGGTGCCTCTTTCTGGATGCTTTTATAGAGTTTCTGACAGTTGCTTAAGACATTAAATGTATACGTGTCTCAAGAGAGACTTTTACTTTCTATAGGACTGAAACATTTTGAGATCTTACAAGGAGTTATTGGCTCTGGCTGAAGATAAAACCCTGCAGCTGCCTGGACCAGAATGCTTCTATGTGAGGATGGACACGGATGCCACGTGCGGACCCTATCGCCATGCTCCCGACAGAAGATCCCAGCTCTGCATTGGCAGGAGCCCTCCCACTAAAGTGCTACAATTGCAACTACTCTACTGAAGCTACATTTGGCCTTTTATCTGACCTCCTTTGATCTTTTCCACAACCTCTGGCAGGTCTTCAGTGCATTCAGTTCTTTATATTAGAGCAATCAATCCCACATGCAACCAATTAGGTTTAGACATAGTTTGGTGACCATAATATTGTACAGACATTCTACCAAGTTTTCAACAAGAGAGGGTGGCTCCTACATGTCACTTTCTAGTGGGGAGCACGCTGACTGCAGTTCAGAAATATCCCAAGGAGAAAAACATATTCCAGAATTATACTCTGAGCCCAAATGTCCCACTTGTAGACAACATTCTGGCTTTGTGTACATACAATAGCAACCCAAACACTGTTCCTCCTCAGTGCTCGCAGCACACAGGCCAAGAATCTCACTAGACCTGTGTGACCAGGTTTGTCATCCAATAACTTCATCACCTGCCATTGTCATTGCCTGTGACACGCACCAAATATGTTTTGCTTATCAGAAGCAAAGGGGCAGCAGCACCCGGAAGGTCCATTTGTTTTGTCTGGGCCCCCAGTGAGGGATGGGAATGCAGTCAGCATGGGTGGGTACCTGCCTTCACTGCCTTTGCACTAAATACAGTTTGGTCCTCTCTCCCTTGCTTGCTCTATGGATGCATCACACTCTGGCCGATGCTTATTGTATTATCTGAAGCTGCTCCTTGGGAAATTCTCAGTTAGAGACACATCTTCTGTCTGTTCATGGTGCGAATCTCCTGCTGATCTGCGCTACTGACCCAGACAAAGATAAATGGGGTCTCATCCTGATCCTTTCCAAATGTGTATTGCACGTTTGCTGTAATGGACATAATACTTCACAGGAGTAACCATAAAAGATTGTTTGGCATAGGCTCTTGGAAGCAGGCTGGATACCTGGCCCAGATATGAGTTAATGCATGGGTTGTGGGGTTCCCTGACCAAATGAAAGACAGCAAGATGAGGAAAGATACTGGATAATTGAGGTGGCATGACAAACATCACAGTTGTTATTCACAGGAATGTACTTGCAATCTGGTTTCCCTGGGTAGGACAAGAGACTGCAGTCCCTGAGATCATCCCCATCAAGAAGCACATCCTTCTTATGCTGTGAGTGCCCAGCACCTCGCAGCACCAAGCCTGTACTTACCAATTAAAGCACAAAAATAAATCACAAAGAAAGACAGAATGGAATGAAAATTCAGGAAGCAGTTCATACTTGGAAACAAATGAAAAATGAAACTTGGTTCTGTTCAGATAACCCTGAAACAGCACAGGTCTTCCAAAATCCTGCACAGGCATTGAAAGCACATCACTAACATCTCTTTTGAGCCTTGGAATACAAACTATTGACACTGCTGTTTGTCAAAGGATCCTAGAATCTGTTCACCATGGACTTTGCTCCACTAGTGACTGAGGAGGAGCATGGTTCCTCACGTGGGTCATTTCCTTTCAATGGAAGGAGCCAGTGTTGATGCTGATTAGTAGCTCGTTTGCTTGCTCCGCTGCCAGGGAGAAGATTTCTTGTGTCAGGGGGCTTGGTGGCAGCACGAGCAACTTCACATCAGTTGTCCCAGACCCGGAAAGGCCTCCTTAGAAAGTGTTTTCTCCTCTCCCTGCTCACACGTTGACAAGGAGAAAGATGTCTGTGGGGACTCCCTAGTCCTCGCCATAACATAAGCACGTAATAAGAAGCACTACAGACCATGGTGCTGGTGCTAAACTATTTGTAGAGTTTTTGCATTACAGCTGCTGTAGAGCAAAACATCTGGATAACGTGGCAATAGAAACTCTAATGAAGTTCAGATGGAAAATTATTTAATGGAGTAGCTTTCCTTCAAAAATGTCTTTCTGTCAGAATCAAAATGCTTTGTGAAACATTACTTTTACCAAGATTTTTGGTGGAAAAAATTACAGCAATTTTGAGGAAAAAATAGATTTTTGATTTTATATAATATTTGCATTTTTAAATGTTATAATTATTTAAATAAGCCAAAACTATTTATTTTTGTGGAATTTTCCTTTGTGGAGAATTTCAACATTTTGAGGTTTTGTTCTGAATTGGAATGAAAACAAATTTCAAAATCTCAAAATCGTCTGTGAAACACAATTTCCATTCTCTGGCCAGCTCAAGTTTCAGGCTAGAACATGTATAATAGGTCCCCTGCAGGGAACCCCCTTAGGGGAAAAAAAGTCTCTGAATGAATTTACTGGTGCAAACATATAGTTTTTAGGATTTATCTATTTTTCCAAGTACACAATGGCGCTCTGAAAACTTCTCCAAGTCACTACAGAAGAAGCCTCCACAAGTTCCTGAAAAACTTATTTCTGAAAGGCATTGCTAACTTTGCCCTGTTGATGGTGGCCATTTCCTGGTAGTGATATTAGTCACTCAGTTATAGTTGTCACTTATTTCCCATAGACCACAGAACTAATCTCACAACTATTTTCTTGTCCAACAAAGGCTGGACTGCTTTGAATAGCTTTATATTACACTTTCAAGGTAGGTGCTATCTGCTCAGATTAAAATATTCAATAGAACAGAGTTTTCCTCTGGGATATCTAGATGGATTTAAATATTTACAGTCTTAGCAAATACTTCTGCCCCAAAATAAAATAAAAAATCAAACATTACAAACAATCAGACTTGCAGCTGGATGTACAAAGACCAAAAATCCACTGTAGGACAAATTAATTATTAGGGACGCTGATGGATATCTACTGCAAGTGCTATTGTCATGGGAATTATTTTGGATTTACAGTGACATAAAAGATTTTTGGCCATCCTGTTCACAACAACTTTATGTATCACGAAGGTATGAAGAAACCAAACAAATGAATTAAAATAAAAAGTTAATCATGCGCTCTATTAAACAAACAAACAATCCCCTGCATATGATGTTTTTGTTTGCTGCCTTTTTCTAGTTGTGTTTTACTGATGGGGAGTTTGTATGCACTGCTCTCGGTGTGTGCATGGCACACTGTCCTGCTGTATTCTGGAGAGTCTCTGCTCCTCCAGAAAGCAAAGGCTTAGTGTCAAGGTGAAAGCTGAACTAAACACACACTCTGCAGTCAAAGCTTGTTTATAACTCCTGACTCTGCTGGGTCAGTTATGCGGCAGTTTCACTAAACAAACAAGTAGAAAGCAGGTCAATGTCCAAATACTGGAGGGCAGCTCATTTAAATTGCATGAATAGTTGTCAGAGGAGTAAAGTTGTAAGTGAAATACATCGCCTCTGTGATAAACAAAAGTGCACGAAAGGTGGTAGATCAAACTCATGCCCAGGTATGACTCTGGGCTGGCCTTGCCTTTCACTACAATGCCTTTGACCAACTGTCTCAGCATAACGCAGGAAGTTTTTGAGAGCACATTTGGCACTTGATGCATTTGTTGCAGAATCAGCAACATAAATCTTTCATTCCACTGTCTCGAGCTGCTATATTGTAAGGTGTGTGTTAAATCACAACAAGGTTCATCCTCTGAAGGGCCAGAAAGGGGAAAACAAACCAAAATTGCATGGTAAATCTATCAAGGAATGACACAGAGGAGCCCAACTGGTTAGATTGGTACCATGGCTGTCCCTTTCCCATGCCTCTGTTCAACAAGGCATTTTCTGCTGTTTCACCCTAGTGTGTTGGCTGTTTATCTTGTATACACAAACCCTCTCCTTTGCTGAACTGCCCATGCCTCTCATACCCTTAAACCAGTTCTCTTCAGAAACCCTGTGAGGTGCAGAAGTGCCATTCCCCATTTTATAAAGGCAATTGGCGCCCAAAGTTAGAAGGGCTAACTGACTGCTAAAATGCAAGCAGCCCTGTCTCTAGCTGAGACTTCCCTCTGAATTTTCTTCTTGAAAGACTGAATGCTTGTCTGGATCCAGAGAACATTTCCAGCCACTTGTCTTTCACAATCCTGCATATCTCTTGCTGAACATACACATATCAACAAGAGCAATCAGTCATCTGATGCACATAAATTCATTATGATGCACAGAAGTTCATAAATTTGTTATCAGCCCCTATGATGTAACCACAGCCTTTTGACATAATACCCCTCTCTTTCCTTTTGTGCTAGAAAGCATGTAAAAAACCTGCCCATCTGATTAGAAACCTAATTTTAATTTTAAACAATCCCAATATAAATATATTCCCTCTTTGACTTGTATTGTCCAAGAAATATGTTAGCATGCTTCCTGCTCTGAGGCTGACTTTGTGATGCCATTGTCACGGTGCCCCATCACACTGCCACCGGGTAGATGTGTCAATGCCTCGGCTTGGTCCAACTCTTCCACTTCAGAAAGGAGAAAGCACTGTGACTGTTGGACATGGAGAGGCAAGAGTCTCTCAAGAAGTAAGCTCCCTGCTGGGAAGGAACCTAATGTGGTTCTCATGTAATTTATAGTAATTCACTTGTATTATATCAGCAAATTCATTAACTAGAGTCTTGTTCACTTTCCTCAGTGAAAAATTTCAGTACGGACAATTTAGAATCAGTCTTTAAATTTTTACGCACTTTTTAAGGCTCTTCTCTTTCCAGTATGCATCTGCTCCTGTGTTTGGAAAATTTCCCTTTAGATGCTATCAATTCCCTTTATAGTTTTGCTCTCCATCGGTATTTCTGAGGGGGCTGTCAGCAGCATGCTGTAGTCTCAGTCTGCTCTGTCTGTAGCATGTACTGCCTTTGACAAGAGCAAATGTAAACCAGGGTCATCTACCTTTGAACACAGCAAACTGAAACAAAAATAAAGATTTGCAAAATGAACGCAATCATGTAGATTTATTCTAAGGGAAGTGGGCAGAGAATTGGTCCCAGGCAGACTGCAATACAGGAATCCCTAGATTCCTAGACAAAACCTGTCTAAATGAGTTTGTGGTCAACACTTGAAACAAGCAATTGGCCCTCCCATCAGCTCTTACAACAGACCGATTATGGCAGAGCTCCATGTGGCTGGCACGGAAAGCTCCTCCGCGGCTTCTGCTGGCAGCCTGACATGTGAAGGTGCGGTAACGCATTAACTGCGCACCGCGAGATAGAAACCACTGCTGCTTTGGATTTTACCTCAAATACTTTTTTTCAACTCAGTATGTAAACATGCGAGCAAATGGGCAGAATGGTTTAAAAAGCAGCAAGCATGATTCAAACGCTTAAAGGAGAAGAAGATATTGTTCGGCTGAGCAGAAGTGAGAGAGAGGCAGCTATCCAACTTGGAGGGACAAGGGATTTGTTCAGGGAGCCACAGAAATATTTGTCTAGAAGCCACAGAAGAAAATGAAGAAAAGTATGCTCTATAATTAATATCAAGACAATCTTGTATCACTAAGATCTAGCTGGGAAATATTTCCTTCAGGGAAGCTCTAGACTTTAAAATCTAGCAGAGATTTTCTAAAAGCTATGGAATAAATACATGCATAGAGTAATGAAAATAGTATTAGATTCCCATGCAGAAGGTATAAATGAAATAGCAACAGCACTTCTACAGCAGCAAGATTTATACAGGACTAAAACTCCAGTGAGAAAAATCTAAACTGCTGTCCCATAGACAATCAGTCTCTGATCCATCCCCCGTCAGTGGGAAATAATGGGAGAAGTTAAGTGGGTCAGTGTAAAAACAATAAGGAAGTGAAAGAAACACAGAGGCAGAAAGTTCATCGCTTTCTGTTGTCCAGTTCCTTTTACAGTGTGATAGCTGGTTTGCAATGACACAGTGAAAGAAAAGCCTACTGCAAACTTTTTTGCACCTTTCTAAGCAGATGAAGACAATTAGAAACATTAACAAGTCTATTTTATTAGTAGTAGCAGCAGCAGCAGCAATGGTTGTTGTGTTACAGTAGCATTGAGAGTCACAAACTGTATGCCCGTGCCCACTGCACTCTGCATCCTACAAGCACACAGTAACAGATGGAAGAGTTTAAAACCTTGATCTTATTTGTTTGTAAAATTTTGATTTGATTTAAAATTTGTTCTGTTCCAGCAAAGATTTATTTGTGTGCTTTCTTTACTACTGTGAGGAACGTGACTAGTCACAATGTGGAAAGCAAAGCACATGCAGGACGAGAATCAGAAACAAGCAAGAAAGAGAGGGGAGAAGGAGAATATTAGCATCCCTGAAGACTTTATTTTCCTTTGCCTCTTTGTACTGTGAAATTTTATTTAATGCCAAGCCCCGCTGCACTCAGAAAACATGGGTGAAGACGCAAAGAAGGCTTAGATTGCCTTAAAACTTCAGAGATTTAAAAATGGCAACACAGTTTGGCTTCTTGTTGTTTGGCATCTGGTTTCTGAGCCTTGCAGTGCATTTGGATAACATTTTCAGGCTTTTCCCTGCAACTGGAAGAATTAGAAATTTATTGTTAAAAAAAAAAAAGAAAAGAAAGAAAAGTGAGAGAGTCATGTGATCGTGTGCTTCCAGGAGCCGAGACTTGAAGAAAAAGCCCACCCCAGACTCACAATAAAATCATGAGAATTGAAAACACCAGACTTAAGAAGCTCATCCAAGATTTCTGCTGTGCATATGGAAAACCAGGGTGTTGTCAGGACTAGTTAGCTAATGTTATAAAGCACTCAGAAGAAAAACGTTAGTTATTATTTAGGAGGAAACCAAAGTGTAAAGTGTTTTACATATAAATCTGCCCTTTAGAAGGGCAACATTAAAAACACAAGATTGAGCTCCGGATTACTGAAGGGTAATAAAGAGGTTTTAAACACAGCCATAACTCATTCTGCATGAAAATGACTCAGCAGTGCCTTGACCAAGCTGAAAACAGGACCTCTGGAAGTGATTAGGAGTGGACTGTCTCCCATCACGCCTCCCCACCTCATCTTCTGCTCAGGCTGGTAGATGGACGCAGCAGCCCAGGGAGAGGAGTGAGCCCAGAGCCAAGCAGGGAGACCACAGCTCTGCGCCCTGCCTGTGACTCCGGAGCAGGGCAAAAGGTGGTGGCACGGCTCTGCTAGCTCTGGCAGGTAACGCCACACAAAGAAGCGTATCGTGCTGTAGTGTAGATGTCCCTGTGTCTACATCACAGCGATTTCAGGGGGTTCTGACCAGTTCTAGCCTGGCAGTGTGGACTGAAATAGTACCAGCAGTTGGAGCCTGCCTGATGCGCTTCTGGAGCGCCTCTGCCCGCCTGGTTTCAGGCAGAGCAATCCAGTTGGCACAGCTGAGGCCATCTTGCTGTGCAGCAAAATCAGGGGAGGGGGAGCAATGGGGTGATTTACTTCAAAAGTGACTCCTGAGCTGAACTAAGACACTGCCGCAGGCTCGCCCACCACTCCGTGTGACAGCTGTAGGGAACGCT